CCCCATCTTGGCAGAGCCCTAGGGACGATGTAGAGTGAGCGCTACAAAGTTATACATTGAACATTGTTTACACATTTTAAGTACTTTGACGTCTTTGACAGCCATCTATCTAAGAAACTTGAGAAGGGGGAGAATATACCTAAACGGCCATCAAAAAGACTACTCTAAAAATACGTAGTTTAAATTGTCAAAAGCACTGAATTATACTGCATACAAGTACAGCAGTTTCGATCACGATATCATGGGACACCTATAGCTGTTGTAAAACGCACATATTGATGACAGCCTAGCAGCCTACATATTACTATAACAACAATACTTAAAGAAAAGGTAAATCATATTCACACGAAGTAAAACTCTGGATAATCAAACGCCACACAGGCAAAGAAAAAAAATGAAATCTCACCCTCGACCAAGATCAGCAAGTCGAGATGAAAAGAAACGAGACCAAGGCCACACTCCACTTCAATCATCACGTCACAGCATGGACACTAGTAGGGGGGGATAGAAACAAAGCAAGAACGCTAGCAAGCGGGGAAAGATGACATGACATGAGCAGGCAATTTGTCTATGGCACAGATAATCGAAGTCTCAGAGCAGGGTATCAAAGGCGGTGCGCATATTGCAAGAGGGCAGGAGGGAACGGGTGCGGGTTTGGTGCAGATACACATACTTCGACGGGATGGGGTTGCCTTGGATTGTTTATTCATGATACATGGGCGCGCGCAAATGGGAAGCAGGAGTTAGAGAGATGGGGGAAATAGAGATGGATCAAACATTGGACATTCAAACAAAGTAGTATGGGGTCATTAAGGGGTCATCATCACGGAGTGCTCGGTACGCTCCTTCATTCGCATGGCTTGGGCTTCCAGAGAGCGTGCCATCAGTTTCGTCACTGTGGGTGGATGTTAGAGTTGTTCTGGTTTGTGGAGGATCGGGGCACTGCTGAAACTAACCTGGCCAGACAGCAGCTCGTTCCAAGATGCTGGCTGTCGCAATCAATATTTTACATCCGTATCCTCCTTCCACAAGACTGGGTAGCCGTTGCACGACACTCAGCGTCGAAATGGAATTGCCATTTTGGAACTGGCGCTGCATTTTCATCTCAATACTCCCCAGGATGTCCTTGATCTTATCGACCAGCTTGCAATCCTCGTCTTCTAACAGCATGACTCCGGGTACTTGAGTCAAGTCGGTGTCGTCGCGGCCTAGGATACCAAGGTAGGGGCCCACCCGTTCTTGAACAGTGGTGATCCACTCCGCTAGCACCTGTGCACAATCGAAAGCACACAACGCACACTGGATAGGCAATTCGCGGGACGAGAACTCGGCAAAGGTGTTACCAAGACGATCCGACATAGAGATGGAATCCGCTGCGTAGAACGCAGCCTTGCGCAGGTGCTTTTCACGCTTAGATTGGCCAATCTTGTACATGTTGGCGAGAGTCTGCATGGGCTCGTCTTGCGTCGGTGTCTTGGAGATGGCTAGATCTGATACTCCTAGATCGGCGATGGAGTCTCGTCTCGTGTCAATGTGACCCGTGAGAGACGGATCGACCACGTCGTTTATTGCAGCATCTGGATGCTGGAATATTTCAGTGCCGCGTGCGAGCTCATCCGCCATGCCATTCCAATCGCGTTGCCAGAATGCCTCTTTGCATCGGCCTAGGTTGACGAATAAACGAACATAGGCCAAATCTAGAAGAGGGATGCTGTCTGCAGACAGAGGTCCAGCCCCGAACGGATTCGGTCGCTCTAGGCTGTGGACAGGGTTGCTAGCCCATGCCGCCTGCCATGCCCGTAGAGCGGGCTCAATGTGGGATTGCATAGCATCAGTCTCTTGGGTGGTCCATTGTCGGCCCATGTGCCTTTGGCGGGTTTCCCATATATAGTTGTGGAGCGAGTAGATGAGTACCAAGCAGCCGAAAGTACTGGGGCGATTTTCCGAATTAGACAGATCGTCGGAGTTGTAGAACAGGTTTGCCGATTGACTCTGCTCCCGTTGGCTGGCAGTCAGAAGAGACGTCAAAGCAGCAGAAAATGACAAAGTCTTCTTTGACGCTGTTTGACCACCCATCTGCTTCCACGCCTGGGGTGATTCGGCCGCCCAGAGATCCTCTTCACAGGGAAGGTCAAGGCGAATTTCCGAATTTGTGAGTGCAGGCGCATGGTTGTAGGCAGAGACGAGAAAGCTGGAAAGAACAAAGATAGCGTAGAGGGTACGTTTCCGCTCCTCTACTACCTTCCAATTCAGCCAATCTCGGCGCTCTTTCGGTTGACTAAATGACGAAGACATCCAGTTTTCCGAGTCACCGGGAGAATCATTTCCGTTGTCACCAGCGGTGAGATGATCCTGCGGCAGGTTCTTGGGATCCAGGTGGTGTGTTAATTCAGCCGCCCGTGCTAGGCTGACCAAGGCAGCACAGTGCGTGCTAGCAATGTCTGCAGATGTCTTGTCACCGCAGGTGTGGCCGTATATCACGTTCAAGAGCATTGCCTGTACCAGCCAAAGCGGAGTGTTGTGCACGGAGCTATCGCGGGAGGAATTTGAACGATTGAGAGCAGCAGACATGTCGGCCTTTCGTCGCTCTTCGAGATACAACTGGATCATCTTTTTCGCGGCATCGAAGAGATCCTTGGAGGCGGCAGGTTCGTGTTCGTACAGTGCACCGATGGCCGCCATGGAGAGGATTAGACAACCTCCGCCTCCAGCGACGCCGGTCGAGCTAAGATTGAGGTGTCCACTTGGTGTGCGTAGGTTGTTCGTGTATTGTGGAGCTTGGAAATTGAGGGTGGGGATATGGAGAAACGGGATGTGAGGATGGAAGTAGGCGATGTAGGCCGAGATGTAGCGCTGCAAGTCCGAGGTGCTGGGCAGTTGACCGGAGCTGTTGAAGCCAGTCGAGCGAGCGAACAACTCGCGAGTGTTTAGAAGTCCACTTGCGGGCTGGGAATACTTGCGATGATTGAAGCCAGTGGGGGTCGACATGCTCGCTAGTAGAGCCTGTCGTGTGGAGTCTGTAAATGTATCCGTTGAGAGTGGTGAATGTTCATTTCGTAGGGCACTATTCGGGAAAGGAACGTTGAGAGGATTAGGAGATTCTCCGTTTGTTGCCAGAGAGGAAAACATACTCTGCGAATGTCCTCCCATGATGGGCTGGCCGACCGAGGTCATAGATGGAGGTGTGGCATACGTCTCAGAAAACGGATTCTGGGCCATTAGAGACTTAGGTGATACTGTCTCCGGGGGGATCCCCAGATCATTCAACGTCGTCGGGGAAAAATCGATCGCGAACTGGTTGGCCGGGTGGTGAGCGGGGAACGGGTTGTGCCAACCGTTGGAGATGGGAATGCGATTCGGGCCGTCGAGCATGGCCTCGCTGATTCCGCTCTGGCTACCCGTGCTCATTGCCGATGGCGAGGACTCGTCAATAACCGAGTCATTGCCATTTCCCAGCATCACACCTGTGTCAAATCCGTTCATCCAGTCAAATTGCATCTCTTCGTCCATCATCGGATCCGCGGAGGGTGGAAGTCCATTGTGGTAGTGACCGAAAGGAGACGAGGGCGAATCGTTGAAGCCTTGTGGGGATCCTGCGAAGTGTAATTGCGCCGGGTTGATGGTGCTACCGTGACCCATCAGCATGCCATCAATGCCCGTATCAAAGCTCCCATACACGGGAGCGGTCCGAAGTCCTCCGGACATATCCATAGGAAGTCCGGAGGTCTCGATCTTCGAAAGGCCGTTCATCGAAGGGTGCCCAGAGCCAAATCCTCTATAATCCATGCTTGAGCCAACTGAAGAACTAAGGCTAGGGTGGTATGCGTGACCCGATTGAGTGGGTGCAGATGACGGATTACCCGCACCAGGGATACCCAAGGCCGCCCCATCAACATGGCCTATTGTATTGGCCCTCGGGCGCATCGAAGAAGCTGAACTATTTGCAATGGAGTTCTTGCGAACCCGGTTAGCACCGGGTGCGGCGCCGGTGCTTTCACGGCGACCGTTTCTCGGTCGCGAAGACGGCGTGGTGGTCATGTGTAGCTTCTGCTGGTGTCGCAGAAGCAGATCGCGCCGAGCGAAGCACCGGGCGCAGTCCGGACACTCGAATGGCTTTTCCTTTGTGTGTGAGCGCTCATGGCGCTTGAGGTGCTCCAATCGCGCGAACGAGCGACCGCAGGTGGTGCAGACGTGGGGCCGAGGCTTGTCTGTTTTAGGGGGCGGAATGTTGCCATTGGCACCCGTTTGACCATTTAGGTCGGTCTGCTTCTTAGAGTCCTTTGGGGCTACAGATATATGGGTAAGAATTGCACACAGGGAATTGTCTCAGCCAAACTCACCAGGCATATTTCCCGGAATTTCGTGGATACTGGCGAGGTCCAGCACTTTTGGGCTATGGTCCCGATCTTGTCCGACCATACCATCCAATAGCATTCTAGTCTTCGGAAACTCCTGACAGACTAGAGTGTTGACTACTGGTCTCGGAGGTGCGAGGGAGTTTGCGACGTGCGGGAAATTGCTGGGGAAGAGAGGTTGTGTCAATCTTATGATTGACTAAAGACCACGTCTGCACAATATTTGAAGTTTCAAATTTGTACAATGTACCGCATCAATGACTGTTCCATCCAAATGACATCAAGTCAGCATGTGTCTCATATGATGCGTAGAGGGTGCTATCACGACCCAAGGTACCGAGGCAGTCTATCAGGAACCTTGCCGTAACATAGATGAACAGGACCCACCAATAAGAGAAATGAATTTACAGTCGGCCTGTCGAAAAATTCGCTGCGTGCCTGGAAAGACGGGTTGAATGGGTTTCGATTAAGCGCAGGATATGGGGACCTGAGACCGGTATGGGGGGGTATGGGAGCCTAGTGTTGACGTCTGTTGGAGGGTCGGAGACATCAGCGAACCGGACTAACATGGATGATGCTTGGACATAGCATGGTCTGATCACTCACATCAAACTAGCAGAGCTAGAGCAAGTGACTTTGTATGATTTAAACTCGGGCATCCATTGAGGGAATTGATCTCGCAAGTTGGAGGGAGTTGGATAAGCCGGAGATAACCGATGGAGTGTAGATAGGCAATTGTCGATAAGCAAGAGGAACCACAACCACACTGGGAAAGCGAAGTTGGTGAAAGGAAGAGATGATAGGAGAGGTGAAGTAGTTGGGAAGTTCGAAATTGCCTCCGAAGGTTGGAGTATTGAGTCGTTCTACAGCAGAGCGAGGTACCTGGGTCAGGGTACTTACATACACCGTTGGTAGTGGCAGTAGTGGCGGGTAGAGAGGAACCGGGAAAGTAGGTGGAAAGTACTGTGGAGGTACCCACGATAAGGGGGTCCGAGGGCAAAGGTACACCGAAGGTACATACGAGGCAACTACCAACCAAGGCGATGTCAGGCCCAGACAACCAGAGAGCAGACGAGCGACAGACAAGCCAGCAGACGGTACCGATACAGAGCGCAAAGAGTGGATCCCAGACACACGGGCTGACCATGCCTGCCAATGATGTGCCCACGATTAACCAGGGTGATGCCAAATGCGGCATAGACTAAATCTTATAGACACGCACGTTCTACTGGACGCCCACCAGTTCCTAGCTCTGGCTCTGGTTATCAACGAGACTCATTGGTCTCCACGTAGTTGCCCCCTTAGGATTAGCGGCGTAACGCCAGATTTCACTAGTATTGTGTCATTTTATGTATTTTATCTTTTGAAACATCCATGGACTAGTTGATACTATTGTGGAATGCAATTGAAGAATGTCTTTTTTTTTTTTTGTTTCAGAAAAGAATTCAGGAATTTGGGGTTATATTAATTGAATTGAATAAACTTATGACAGAACTGGGTGTATATTGAGGCGCTCCGTACTCGTATGTAAAGAATACGCGGCTGCACTAACCAAATTGTTGCTCAGGTGGATATCATTTTAATAAATGATTTATTAGTACTCCGTGCTTCGTACTCCGTATTTCATATTTCATATTCTCTAAGCCCTGGAAGTATCGGAGTGGGCCCGAGAGTTACAGATAATAACAAGCCCATACACGTTTATAATAATGGTAATATACGATATAATATGTACTATGGAAGGACCTCGTGACAGTTTTATCTTTTATTTTCATTTTTATTTTCATTTTATACCCTTTCAAGGCTCCCATTAATGTTGGAAAACCAAATTCCAAGAATTCCGGGGGCGGAGTGTCCGGGAATGAATAAGCGGAAAGATCCGCAAAAGAATAGACCATGCGCCATTTTTGTGGGGGAGAGAGTCAAAAAAAGGGTTCGTGTGGGGGATTTCCCAACCTCAGAACATACGAAATAGAAGATGCTATTCTACAATTGGACGCGCCGACAAGGGATGTCCTCCGGTTCCTTATTGCACATGGTCTAAAGTGGCGAGGTTATGTAATTTGTGGGAGTGTGGGAATGCCCTTTTTCTTTTTCTCTTTTTCTTTTTTTCCTTTTTTTGGGTTCTTGGCTCCCCCAGATTAATTTGCTTTCCCCGGAATCTGCCCCTCGAGCGTTTTCTAGAATCTCCATCCCGTCGCTGTATGAACCTCGGGACTCGCTGCACACGTTGCGCCACGCCGTTTTGAGTTTGGGTCGCACGGAACGAAGGATGGATACTCTACCTACGTAACCCATTGGGGCATCCAGCCGACCATCGGATCGGTGATCTGGGGTTTATGCCCAGGCGGTGATCCAATATTTCGGTGCTGACATAGCCTTCGGATCCTTCCAATACTACGTTGACTTCAATGCAGACAAAGAGGAAAGTGGCCACGCGGCAATAAATGCTCCTTCGTTAACTTTCCCAGCTCTCTTCGTTTTTTTTTTTTCCTGAACCTCACGATGTCTGGAGTACGGAGTACTGGTGTAGAACGTAGATTCGTAAGTCGGTCGCACAGACATCTCCTTTGCAGAATCCCCCGGACTTGACAATGCACTAGTCAAACTAGCACACTAGAGCGAGTCTAAGGGGACTGCAGGTGACCCGAGATGAGTCAAGGGGTGGTCGAGCGACAAATGAAACAGCAGTGCCGTAAGCCACCCTCCCCAGCTTTGACGCAGTGAGCTATCTCTAAGCTGTGTTGATGCCGGGGTTGATCCGGCTGTTAGGATGGCACTGGCCAATCCCTCAGATGGATGGGTAATTAAGCTGCAACTCAAGGGTTTGAGTTTCCCTTTAAGAGCATTTGCCATACCTCAGGCATCCAACTTATTTCTAATCATCCGCATGCATCCATGCACGCTCAGATAAAACGGCACTTTGGCCATATCAATATAATTGCCGTATTAAATTCCCATGAGCAAGACATCCGACATTTCCGAGAGCCACCGAGTATACTGAGTATGCCCCCAAAGCCTGGAATGAACCAAGACGATTTGGTTCTAGCGAAGACATGTCTCACCTAGGAAATTGAAGCATCGTACAACACTCAACCCCAAACACAGTTCACCGGTGTTGAACAAAGCCAATACGGTGTTACGCAATCCAAGGCCGTTCATAAATACCATCTAGCCTAAATAGACGAAATTCAAGCGTAGGAAACAGCCTTACCCTAACATCCGCCAGCTCCGACCAATCTCCTGATGCAGGTCCAACACATTATTGAAGAAGTCATCGCTTTGTCATAAGCTTGGACACCTGCACCTCAGGGGCAGACGCCACTGACCCCAATCATGCAATGACACTGCACACCTAGGCACTACACTAGATAGTACACTATATACCAGCCAACAGGGATATCCATCTATGGATGGATGAACGCTAGCCATACATCGAGCACCGAGTCCATCAAACGTTATTGCATAACCGCGCTTCGCGGATGATCTCTATGTCGTATGTGCGACGCATGTTAAGTATCAAGATAGTATATATGTGTACGCCTTTTCCAGTCCTTTATGTTTTGACGTAGTAATATTCAAGACAATAAATTACAGACGATGAAACATCTCAGGTAATGTCTATCAAAATATCCCCATAAATTCTCCGAAGCGCCCACATCCTAGCCCTGCGTGTCACGGGTAGTGGCCAGTGCTGTCATCAACGCGGGATGGCGGAGTTTACACCCCCATGGTCGGACTTTACGCCGTGCCTTTCTGTTTTGGTTTTTGTTCTTACCGGGTATCACTACCCGAGTGTCGTTTATTATCTGTGAAGAATACATTATATTATACCAACTGAGATAAGGTACCGTCACTCGCTTAGACCTTAATAGTGTACGGAGTAGGAATCGTAGGTTCCCTTCCCGATTGATTTGGATGTGATCAGATTAACCTGAAGAATACTGGTGTACTCTGTACCATGTTGATCACTTGCCTCCTATGTGACTTCGTTCAATCCCCTGAGGCTCTGAATTCGCTCACCTGCGTCATTCTAGGTCCACAATGAAACTGTTAATACGGAGTACAGATGTCATATTTGTAACATTTCATGTGCATCTTAATTAGTTAAACCCAAAGATACATATTAAAAAGCCACTAATCCAACTACTCCCTGTTGTCATTCGAGATCGAGCGGCAAAAGGACGTGGGGTGACAGCACCATATCACGGATGATCAGCGCCGGTGGCATCGAGAGAGGAACCCAAGGCCTAAATAACGGCAATTGACCAAAAATTATGCCGATCAAGACCAAAGGCGTTGAATGTCGCACACGATCAACTGGCTAACCACATATTAATTTGAAACATGCAATCGCCATCCATGCAATAATAATCCATAGTAGTATAGTGGATAGCGGATACGGAGACTAGTGGAGCTCCCGCAAGCTCCCATGGAGAATAATACAAGCGGCAATTACATATTCTTGGCCGTGCAGTTCTCGGCCGTGTACCTGAATAACATAACGCCCGATAACACCCTGATACGGGACTATTATTCCAAGTTCCAGATATCATTATTATGACTATTGTCTATATTAGCGATAACAAATAACCTTGGAACACCTTACAGCTATCAAAGTGGACGAGTTTGGATATTGTGCTCCGTGCTAGCGTTATATATCCGGCTAGTACTCTGTACGGAGTATCAATACTACATCGGATGCAGATCGCAACAGCTATTATGCAGTATGTTGTAGTAACAGTCGGGAAGGATTTCCCAGCGCATGGACAGGCGCTCAGGCTTACAATATGACTGGATGGCCCAAATCCCTGCGTGGATGATCAAGGTTTAGTGTGGGTATGAGGTCGGATCATCCAGAATGAGAGCTGCCAATTGTACAGCTACATCATCGCGTTCGGACCTACCCAAGAACAATGCTTTTTCATCAAGGAAATGAGAAGCATTTGTGGCGAGTACTGGAGTTTATCCAGCGCTAAGATCAGACATGAAGAATGTTTATCTTTAGTATGATTTAGTACGGATTTTACGGAGTACCCAGTCCGATGTTCACCGATGTACATCGATGTGCATTAAATGTAACATTATATGGCACGTTGTAGCAAGATAGGATGTGGACTAGACACCCTTGTACTTGGAGTCATATGGTCTTTTCAATACATACATACATAACTACATACGTATAGATGTACGTACTTTACCATTAAATTACCCGATTGGCGGAATAAACCGCTTTCCCCCGATAAGAAACAAAGAGGCTGGACCTGACAAATTGATATCGGAGAGATTATTTGGCCCGGAGAACAGCCGATGTCGCAAAAGAAATCGTGCTATTTTAGCGTGTCTCTTGCTAAAACGTGAGAGCGGTTAGATCTGATGTGATTGACTGGGCTGGCTCAGGCGTGCATTAGCGGTATTTATTGCAGGCACGATGACGAGGGAGCATTGAATGGATGTTGTACTCTTTTCCAGCGGATTGGATAGGAGCAGACTTGGCCGGTAGATCAGATCGATTGATTTTCTAGCGCAAGGTACCTTGCGCTTTGTATGCAGTCAGCTTTGAACTTACCTAGGTAGGCAGTGCTATACACACTATACACACTGCTTCCAGGCACTACTTCCAGTAAATGTAGTCACTGCCGAGGTTTATACAACAGATACTATAGGCACGCCAATATACTTCGCAACTTACTCCAATGTCTTGAGCCGAGCAACACAAGCACAACAGTCAACTGTCTGACATTGAAATGCACTCAACAGGCTCCATTCGAATTCATGCATGTCATACCTGGAGCGTCAATCCACTCCACTGTCTCCATGCTTATTAGCATTCCGATATCCATACAATAAATGTCCAATATAGCAATATCTAGTGGGTCTTGTTTTTCGCGTTTGACACAAATAAATAAAAAAACACATCCAACATCGCCACAATGCACATCCAGGATCGATCTTCTAACGTACTACTTATCTATTCCGTATTTCCGAAGGCTATTGATATTATTTTCATAAAAAATACTATATATAAACAAAGAAATGTATTCGCAGCTACTCCGTATGCCATTAACCAGCGCAGCCCTGGAGGATCACTGAACCGACTGGTCCATTCGTCGCACCCGACTCGGCCCCAGGCTAATTCGCGGCGCCGAAAGGCTACATGGGATGTACTAGGTCACGTCATTATACAAAGGCTGCATATGTACGGATTATGTATGGAGTACGGAGTATTTAATAGCGCATTGGCGATCTGGCACGGTCCATTCTGCGCAGTGGCTTTGCATCGGTGCGGGTTATCCCTGTTAACGCCTTGTACATTTTGTATTGTGAATAGGCGAGGATAGCGAGTTACGTATCTGGGTAAATCCGTGGAAGTAGTGTTGATATGTTATATTTCACGTATTTTCCAATACACCTGCCCTGCTGATGCTTTGCATTGCAGATTGCCCCTCCCCTCCAAAAGTAGCGGAATTGTCTGGATCTAATTCCGCTGTTGAATGTGAAGGATTCTAGCCCTGAAGGTATGAGGGCAATCGTAGAGGAATGTCGCGAAAAATGTGTCTATTTAATATGCCAGATATAAAGACAAAATCTTTTTGTTCACCCACCCTAACCATCTGGAGGAAAGGGTCTAACTCCGAGCATAATGATATTGAGGAGCAAAAAATCCACAGAATTCGAATGGTATATGAGCAAGACATGGCACATGAAATTCCCGAGTTAGTCGGAGCGTAGATACATTTTCTTCGTTTAGACACTGATCGTCTTGAAAACACTATAAAACGGACCTGGTTAGCTTGGTTCGTCACTTATTATCAAGAATATAACATACCTGAATCCATTGCTGCCGGTCGCCATGAGCGTACCGGGCATCTGTGCCTGCCAGTGAACCTCCTTCACAGACTCCATGTAGTGTACGAACAGCAGTTGAGAAGGAATGTCTGCCATGTTGGCCTGGCGGCTTTCTTCGTCGTCCAGCTCGACAGCAAGATCCCAAAGTGTGACAGTGTTGTCTGCGGAGCCGACAGCCACCACACTGTCGTCTGAGGGGTGCCATTCGATAGTGGTGATGGGCTCCTTGTGGAAGTCGAATGATGCAACGGGGGTAGAGGTGATCTGAGCGGAAGGTGCCGCAGCATTGGGCTTCCAGTGACGCAAATCCCAGACCGCCCACTGTCCATCATCGGCACCAGTGGCCAAAAGGTGAGCTGTCTGGTTAGACCAGCTCATAACGTTCACGTCAGTGTTAGAGACCTGGACGTCGACGGCGGGCTTGCGCGACTTGGATCGCACATCCCAAACCTTAACGCTACCGTCACTACTAGCAGACGCAAATACATTGCGCTCGTTGGGGGACCACTGCAGTTCCTCAATCGAGGAAGCGTGGCCTGTGAAGGGCCGGGTGTCAGTGACCCAGCCACCACCTTCAGTGCGAGTGGTAGCATAGATCAATCCGTTATTGTCACCGGTCAACAGCTTTCCAAGAGGCTGGAGTGGGGACCAATCCAATGCATATCCTTCGGTCTTGTGCATGCGCAGGGTGGAAAGAGGCTTAGATGCCGAAGGGGGAAGAATAGTGCCGGGAACATCGAAGCTGGAAAGGTGGGCGGTAACATCGTGAATGACGACTTGGGAGTTCTCGAGCCAAGTCGCGGTAAGGGTTTGCGGGGGCTTGGAGTAGTCACCGGACTGGGAGGGGGTCTGGTGGGTACGGATGCGGTTTGTCGTTGAGCCAAGCGGGATCGACTTGTGCTCGAGAATGGGCTCACCCATGTCGTCGTCGTCCGAATCACTGTCTGAGTCCTCACCCTCCTTCTCCATTTTGCTCAGACCGCTCATCTTGAGCACCATGAGTTCATTGTCCTTGGATTTGGAGCCCTCGGCTTGTGTACCAGTAACAGCATAGACAGTAGCGGGGTAGGTCTTGCGGTTATCACCGAGCGAATCGCGCACAATATCGAAGGAAAGGCATGGCCATGGTGTGCTGAGTGTGTGAAGCATATCGTAGGTGGAGGGATCGGGCGATAGTGTCTCTCCGGGTGCCAATTTTGTTCGTCCAGGAATGAAAGTCTCCTTGTCGACATCCATAGCTTCTATAAGATTTAAACATGGTCAGTTCAGTTGAACAGATTTAGAGATTCAGGTAAATCAAGCGCACCCTTCTCTTCTTCTTCGCGCTCAGCATCTGGGCGACCATCCACTCCGGCCTCTAGGATCTCATCTTCACTCTCGAATTCATCCTCGAACTCGTCTTCGAACTCCCCCGCCTCGTTCATTGGGGCATCTGCAATTGGCCGCTCACCAGCCTTGAGGGCGGCGGTATTCTCTTCCACATCAGCACTTCTCTTGGACATCTTGAAATCCGTGGAAAAGTGATAATTATAAGAGTGTTAAGACCGAGGAGGGGGATGTGCGATAAGAACTTTTTTTTTCCCGTAAATTTTGGCAACAGCGTGGGAGAGACGCTAAACCTATCGTGGTTTAGCGTCAGATCACAGTTGCCCGCCCTCGAGCTGAAGGTACCGGAGAAGCCCTGACGTTCTTATTTGATGTGTCTGGGCCCTGCTGTTTAGGAATTACATACGTGAACATTCATTTTCAGCCTGGTTCCTGCATTTTTTTTTTTCGCTTCCGAGTTTCGTCCAAACCCTTTCCCCCAATTCGCTCTGTTTACTCAGGGACAACCCTTGTCCGCTTGAACTCCCGAGAATAAACACTGCTCTCGGCTTCTTCAATTTTCTTAAAACAACCCCTGGAGTCAATACATATGCAATCTCGTTAGATTGTGCTGGAATTTCAGCCCTTTGTGATATTGGTTAGTCACCTCCTGAGATCCTTCATCCCACACGTATATGCTGACAATCGAGACTTGTGTGACAGATTGCATCTCTGACTTCTACACCAATACCGATCGTGAAACGCCATGGAGTTCCATAAGCCTAATTGGGAGCCTCTGGTAACCCCTGAGGTGAAAGCGCCCGCTGTTCCTGTCGTTGCGGAATCTGAGAAGATTGCCCCAGAGGATCAGACGGAACAGGCGCAGGAGCAAGCACGCGCACAGGGACAGGAAATTCCGCCCGAGCAGCCTCTGGAGCAACCTGTCGAACAACCTCTGGGCCAACCTTTGGAACAGTCGGCACCTGTCATGGTCAATATCGAAGAGCCAGCTTCGGACCACACCAGCCGTGCCGCCATCAACACTGGTTATAACAGCGACTCGAAGGCGCATTACCACTCCCGATCGACCGACTTTCATCAATCTGCTCCTGAATATGCCGCCCAAGATACCGATCAGTCCCGGCAGAACTCATCTCCATTGCTCAACCACCACCCCCTGCCTGTTCCCAACTCCAGGCCCGGATCTGGACTCTCCAGTGGCCCGGAACGCGCCCCTGGTGTTTCCCAATTGCAGCAACAGGACGCCAGTCAGCGCCAAGCTTCCCAGGCCAATAAGAACAGCGTGGTGATTAAGGTTGGTATGGTAGGCGATGCGCAGATCGGAAAGACCAGCTTGATGGTCAAGTACGTTGAGGGCAGCTGGGATGAGGATTACATTCAGACATTGGGTAAGTTGAGGTTTTGTTCGCTCGGTAGCTCTGTTCGTTCTAATGGAGGAATTGTCTAGGTGTCAACTTTATGGAAAAGACAATCTCGATTCGCAACACTGAAATCACCTTCTCGATTTGGGATCTTGGTGGCCAGCGCGAGTTTGTTAATATGCTACCACTTGTCTGTAATGACGCCGTTGCAATTCTTTTCATGTTCGATCTTACTCGCAAGAGTACATTGAACTCAATTAAGGAGTGGTATCGCCAGGGACGTGGCTTCAATAAGACGGCCATTCCCTTCCTGGTGGGCACCAAATATGATCACTTTGTGAACTTCCCCCGTGAGGATCAGGAGGAGATCTCTATTCAGGTACTTGGTGATTCTCGTCTATACCGTCGCAGCAACTAACATTTTTGCAGGCCAAGCGATTTGCTAAGGCGATGAAGGCTAGTCTGATATTTAGCAGTACCAGCCACAGCATCAATGTGCAAAAGGTACGTTGCAATCGTTCATGCCCTATTGCTTGGTATATTTCAAAGTATGATGAGACACGTGCTGACCCACTGCAGATCTTCAAGATTGTTCTAGCCAAAGCATTCGATCTGAAGTGTACCATTCCGGAGATTGAGAATGTTGGCGAGCCCCTGCTCCTCTACAAGAATGTCTAAGAATTGCCCGTTTGCCCTGACGATGATGTACATTGGGACGAAGTGACGCTGCTGATGATCGACGCTGGCCCTCTACCCTCACTGCTTTACCACTTTGTGAATTTCCCTTTTCTTTTCTCCAACGATGTACTTGACCTTTCTTATGTCTGTATCACAGCCTCGGGCTCTTCTGGACAGGTTGCATGCTATCAGTCGGAGATCTCGAGGCTTGTTATTTTTTAACTGCTACCCTTCTCCTTGTCATTTTCTTTGCTTCATCTTGTTCCTTCATTCATCTTTGAATGTACCTAGTGTTACTTTTTTTTTTGTTCCAGATAAGGGCTTCACCGGCTTTAAGGCGTTTGGGAGTCCCGAACCGTGATATTCTGGAAATACACTCAAACCTCTTCTGTTTACAATGCCTCGAGGGCTTTACTATGCATATTGTAGATATACGTTGTGCCGGAGTCCGTACAGAGTTCCAAATATAGATCTGGACCCATGGATACTCCATACATGGCCCCAGGGCTGACCCCTCTTTAGTTGAGCCTCCTATTGCTGTTTTTGTTTTTGTTGTTTATTTATTTCTTCTATACTGATCTTTCCTTGTCTTTCTCAATATTCAGGTAGCCGAAATCAGTTATCAGCAATAATCACTTTTGCGATAATTCTCCTGAGCGTTTCAAAGTGCCCAACAAGGCTACGTTCGCCCCCGCCAAGCCAAGGACGAGGTACCTAAGCTCGAGCTGTCTAATTCTTCTAGACACGTCTCGACTTTCCCCTCAATATAGGCTCAGACATCATGGCTGAAGATCCCCAGTTGAATTCTATCCAGCAGCGGATCGCCGCCCTCAACCAGTCGCAACTGGCCCGCCCACCGGGAGGCCCTGGACCATCATTCCGCCCAACCCCCGAACGGAGCGCGTCAGCCAACAACCCTCCCTCCTACGATGCAGTCGGCTCTGTAGTAGATCGAGCATCTGTCGGAAATGAACCGGCAGATGAGAGAACCCAGAGGCCGGTCCTACAGCCGCCTCCAATGGAAACTCTCCGGCCTGAAGTGAAACCAAAACCAAAAGCCCCTCCGCCATTGCCCACGCGAAGATCAGATCGCCTGCCTCCCCCCACACCAGCTCGTCCTGCGCTTCCACCGCGCCGACCGACGGACCAAAAGCGCCGGCCCTCCCTTGAGTCGGTCGCATCCGATGTGTCATACTCGACAACGTCAACAGCTACAACTACGGGACGAGGCGCATCGACAACCTCGTTAAACTCCGCCGGGAACAATCGCATCAAGGCGCCTGCATGGGGCGAGACGGAACTGCCTAAGCTGCCTCCCCGTCGACCAAAGGAACAAGCTAGTTTGGAACCGCCCCCGCGGCCTACGATTAGTAGTAAGAGGAGCTTTGGAAGCCTGTCTGCCCGATTGACCGCCAAACTACCGGGTTCCAAGCCCCCCCGTTCCCTCTCCTCCAAGTCGGCCTGAACGGCCCAGTCAACCTCCTCGTCCTACGCAGCCTCCACGGCCTACCTCGTCTCCAAATCCTAGCCAGCCACCACCGCGCTATGAAGCCGAAGAGGAACCCCCGGTGCCTCGACTACCTCCACGCCGCCCATCCGGGGTACATGCAGACACAAACGGAACTGGTGATGACTCGAGCATCAATCTACCGATTCGGAAGACCTTACCTCCTCCCCCGACGGCTGCGCAAATCAAGGATGCTAGACAGTTCGGGTTTGGTAATACAAGTTCACCCAAACCCAACGGCACTGCCCCCAATGGAACACCACCACCTATTCCACATGGCTCCCGTCCGGATCTATCCAAAATTCTGGCTACAAAGCCACGTCTCAATGGGTCAGCTGTGTCTCCAACCCCTCCGCCACCGACATCAGACACCGAATGCTTGGTATGTCGGGACTTCTCCGGCCCTGATAGCCATGCAGCCCGGTATCCTCGTGAATCACTTCCCACGCAGGATATGAAGTGGCTGGCCAATGAATTGACAGCACCATTCCCATCCATGACAGATAAGGCACGCGCGATATTCACCTGGCTGCATCATAACATCTTCTACGATACCTATGCCTTCTTTAACAACTGTGTGAAGCCCTCCACACCAGCCGGTACTTTGGCATCTGGAATGGCAGTCTGCGAAGGTTACGCAGGACTATTTGCAGCATTAGCCACCCACGCCGGTCTAGAGGCAATAGTAGTCGGCGGCCACGGGAAAGGCTTCGGACACGAAGCTCTTGCTCCAGGGGTCCCGGTACCCCCATACGCAGGCAACCACGCCTGGAACGCCGTCAAAATTGACGGAGGCCGATGGAAACTAATCGACTCCTGCTGGGGCGCAGGAGCAATAGAAGGCGCCGGGCAGCCATACAAGCAACGATTCGAGCCAGCGATGTTCTCTATCCCGAACGAAGAGTTCGGCCTAAAACATTTCCCTGAAAACAAACGCCACTTCTTCCGCGAGGACGGCCGTCCCGATCTAACCTGGGAAGAGTACATCCTCACAGACCCAGAACGACCAAACGGCGTCGAAAGCCTAAAGGTCTACAGCGATGCCGACAAGCGCACCATCGGTCGCAAGACCTTCCACCCACAGGCCCTGCACATCTCCATCAGCACGCCGGGCCCAATGCGCTTCCAGTTCGGTCTCCTCTGTCCTCACTGGACACTGGCTCGCCACAGCCACATCCAGCATGTGGGCTTGTTCCTTCTTATGGTCCATGGTGTGGATGGACGCGAGGACGACAGACTACCTTTCACGCATGTATCAGGCTCCGGACCCGCGGGCGGTGGCGAGTTCTGGTATGTGGATGTCCCCAGTGCGCGTCTGCTTGGTGCGCCGGGTCAGAAGCTGCAGTTGGCTGTGTTGACTAGCTTTGGGGATCGGAAGGATGCCAGTGGCGTTACGGCACAGGAGTTCCAGGAGAAGGTTGGCCGGGTTGGTATGGCCTGGGCTTATGTCGCTGAGTGGGAGCTGGTTAGGTAGATTTCATGTCCGTGGCGGGTGCTCTAATATTAATATAATGTTTGTCTTTTGATGGGTTGACCCTTGTTTTCGCAGGGTGTGCATGCACTCAGGTGTATCTTGCCAGTTAAATATACCATTCGGTGACTCTTCACTCACTATCAGTGCATGTGTGTTTTTTTGATATAGTTGTAACAATAAGAAGCACCATACACGGCAGAAGAAAAGCAGCCCTGGAGCAAACATAGGCTGATAAATTGCCTAATGGTACTTAGAATCACACCCGTAGACCTTCAAAACTCCAACTCCCAACTTCTTCAACGTCCACAACCCATTCAGGTCTCTGATCAATAACAATACCTTCTTTGATGGATCTCCCTCTCAACTGAAACTCGGTGGATACTAAATCGAACGAACAACAACTACGTCCTTGATATCTCAGTTCTGAATGATCTGGATCTTTTTGCAACCTGGGTCTCAGTCCCACAGATTACAACTCATCTATCTACACTTCACTTGAATATACGCCTTTTCGGACACATGGTCACCAGCAAAGAGGCGCCTGATCAACTAGGCTATGGTGGTAGACACGGGTTCCACTGGTCTTTCTACGCCATATTAGAACGATTCCTCCGGTATGGGCCAGTGGGCATGAAGAAAAAACACACAAACGAGTGGGGATACCCCTGCTCCTGGCGGTAACCGTCAAATTTGTATTGAAAATATCATTCTCGGCTTTCACTCCGCCGAGACGGAGCTACCATATCCTCCCGATAACCTGGGGTTCGGAATGTGGGTGGATAAACATGGCGGAAGCCGCCCGATCAATGGACAGGAACAGGAAGACGAGTCTTTGGCGTGCAAAGCACGTCCCGAGTGGCTATTGCACTATTTAGGAAGTTGATTGGGACTTATCATTAATATGAGCTACCATGGGCCGAAATATGAAGGATTTATTTACGAGAGGATCGGTACCATCTCCATGCTGGTGAGTGGAAGGCTGAAGGATACTATTGATCTTGCGGAGATGTTGGCCAGGTTGAGGTTTTCTAGGCCCGCTGGTACAATGGGGCATCTACAATCAGAAATTCGATTGTCTGAGTTTTGGAAATGGAAGAAAGCGACGCTCCTAAGAAGGGAAGTTCTTGAATTTCCTGTTGTGTGGCCACATGACATGGTGAGGGAGTGGTTGATTTTGGTTCAAGTAGAAGAAGGGTACTTGGTGTTTGCTGACATCGAGGATACTTTGATGATGGTACAAATGTGATATTCTTTCAAACGACCATGATGTATAACCTTGGAACTGAAAGCATACTAGATAGTTAGTCTTCCAAGGTCGGCAACAACATCGCCAGTTGGTCGATAAAGGGAGAAAGGAGTGATCTAGCTTGTACTAGAAGAGCCCACTAACACTGTTCCTTGACGTACTCTTGTAAGGTCTATTTAAGCAATTCAACTCTTGGCTTGCACCCCGAAGAATCATCCACCCACATCCCTTCCCTCTTCATCAACATATCTGTCTCGATCTATTCCATGAACCACAATTAGATGACTGACTTCCCTATTTCGCTCTGATAGAAGTGATACATATATGTGTGAAAGGGCAACGGAGAAAAAGGCCGTACTTTCTCCCGCTGGACGCAAGATCGCTTGGCCGGAACGATCGTGCAATCTTACTCCCCTTTGGAGCTCTGGCGTTTAGTGTGCATGGTCCACTGTAGCTGTCTTCGATGGTCTCTCAACCTTCCTTGTTCAAGCTGGAGGACTTGTCTGGCAGAGTTGACCTGTTTTCGGCTTTTTTTTTTGGCGGTCTCTCGATCTAAGGCGACCCACGTTATACGGGCAAGTACGCCCTCATCCGTGACCTTCAACTTGGCATCATTCATCAGCACGAGGTCCAACCCCTGATCCTGTCTGGCGAAAGCTCTGCATATACAACAATGGGCGCAATATAAGGTACCCCAATGAAAGATGTATTGTATCGGTATTTTTATCTGTGTTGTAGGGCTGAAATGGGAGGTACCCCGGATTTTAGGTGTGCCAAGCACAGTTCTCCTGTGGATCAATATATTTGCAATTTGGCGACAAGGCTGAAAGAGGGGAATACCAATTAGCTTGCCTCATTTGGAAAATAGCACAACTCAGATTGCAACATCCATGGATATTTACCCTATAGAGTTTTGCTGAAAAGTGACGGTTATCTAACCCCCTTGGCAGCGAACCTTGGAGGTAGCCCCTATATTACAACCAAGAAGCAAAGTTGCTCTTGGGTGAGATAGATCAGAAGCGCCTTCAACATGCACACGGGGGGCCTAAGGTCTGGCCAATCTCGGGTTTCCCCTTCTGTTCTAGTGCTCACTGGCAATCTCCACCACCCAATAATAATTACATTTCAGTCAGCCATTTTTCACCTGCTTATGTTGTAGGCGCCCGCCCAATATGTTTTCCGAAGAGAAAAAAAATGGATGCTTATGAGACCGTGTCATTTGAGAAAAAAGTCGAGAATACTACATAATGTATGTCTGTATGTTAAGTTTGAAGTGGTGGTGTCATTGATAGATGAGATATGATAAAATGTTTGCTTAATTTGTTTTATTTGTTTTGTTTGTCCAGGGTCCGTTGCATTTCTGATTGGCTCCGATCATCTACAGGTGGAGTCAATACTTTTTCAAGGTTACCTCTTCAGGGTGATCCCGCACGTGGACACTTTCCTTAAAGAGCGAACAGCCCGTTAAGCATGAACCCGTAAGATTGCCCACGGGTGTCTGCCCCGCCCTATGGACCCCTTATTTTTTTAAATTTCCCAAAGTCATCTTTCTCTCCCTTATCAAGCTTCTGTCTTCAATTTCCCCCCTTCCCTCCAGAGGGTGTTGTTGGCACCATGAAATCTTCATTGCATCGCCCGGGAGATCTCTCTCTCCGTGGGCAGCTTGAGGATTCAGCCCTCTTTGCTCTCAAAGTTGCCAGATCCCCTCAGCTCTACCTAGATGCTTCTCGCACATATTTCTTCTCCATCACTTTTATTTCTCTCATATTATCGAAATCCTTCCATATCTGCGTGCATCTCACGTCGCTAGCGGTCCCATCCCTCCTTCCGTGGGGCCCGACTTTTTTCCTGGTGGATATTCTGCTTATTCTGGTCGCGTGCTACCTGACACGTTCCTTCGAATCGCGGATCGGTCAGAATGTAGCCGCCGTTGTGACTCTTTTATTCAGGTGAGCTATCGTTTCGATTTATAATGCAGAAATGGTAAATCGCTAACCGTACCCTAGTCTATACATTTCGTCGATGACGTCCGCAAATATCTCCTTCTATGTCCATACAGGCGCGGAGATCCCCTGGCGGAAACCGGAAAGTTCCCATGAGGACAATCGCACTACCGCTACCCAGACTGTTCTGTCCATGTTGACAGTCGCTTTCTTCGTCGACATATTGATTATGGTCAGCGCGTACTTCGCTACCCCATGTCTGTTCCGAGCCACCGAAGCTTTCCTGGAGATTTGGGGTTCGCTTTTGCTCTCCCCTTTCCGCCGATGTCTTCGACGGAAAGCCTCGGTAGATCCAGAGACCTATCAGCAGATTGAAATTGAAGACTATGACGAGGGCAACAATGACAGTGACTCCGTGTCGCAATTGGATGTACCTCAAAAGCAACCCGTGCAGAGGAAGAGCCGATCATTGCTGAAGCGCATTATCGCTATATCGTGCGGCGTGATCATAGTACTGCTTAGTTGCATTCGTCCACGCGGTGCGGATTACAGCTATCTTTCCAAGTCTTTGTCTCTCGCGCCGTTCGGTAGCCACGAATATGCGCCGGCCCAGGAACGTCCCACGTCGGCGAGCGGAAGTACCTCGAAAAGTGCACCATCAAGCGCTCCATCACATACTCCAGCAGGCGCCCCAGCAAGCGCTCCGTCAAGTGCTCCTCCATCGAATGTTCCATCAAGTGCTCCAACAAGTGGCGCTAACGAAAATTCTACCTCGTTGCCGGCTGATTTCAGCTGGCTTGAAGGCCACACCGCTCTGGACTCCTTTCCCACATTTGACTGGTTACCTTCGTACAATTCGTCAGATGGCTTCCCGGATTGGTCTCCCTTCCGTATCAATAAGCATGGCAAGTCTGACTATGTGTATGAACACTATAACCCGCTGAAAGATCCTCTGCACACGCCAAACCTCCAGAACGATATTTTGGAGCCTATGCGTGAACTTCTCCACGACGGAAGTGTGAAGATTAAGCATGTCATTCTCATTAAGCTTGAAAGCACTCGACAAGACGTGTGGCCTTTCCGCTCAAACTCTTACATCATGAAGCACATCAATGACTCTTACCCGGACGGTATCCCTGATGAGGTCCAAGATAGGCTCACTAAGCTCACCCCTACTGCCGAGCGTTTAACTGGATTTGAGACTGGGTTCCGTAAGGACGGGGATCATTCTCCCAAGCCCTATGGTGGTTTCAGTGCGAGGAACGCTTACACGTCCGGGACCTACACACTGAAGAGTATTACTGGCACCGTGTGTGGAGTGAATCCTATGGCTGTCGAGGCTAACCTCGAATACCTACACGATATTTACCAGCCTTGCTTGCCGCACATACTCGAGGCGTTGAACCAGCAGCCAAACATCAGTACTCAGGCAGAGACCAATACGCAGACAGATGACTGGACTTCCTGGCCGTGGCACACTATGTGGATGCAGTCACACCCCGACGACTGGGATAAACATTACATGCTTCATCCTGCTCTGGGCTACAAAGATATCATGGCAAAGCGAACAATCGATGCAGATGGTAAAAAATACATCCCAGAAGAGACAGAAGAGGAAGAGGAACATGGCCACGAGGATAAGTTACTGAAAAATTATCTGCGGGATGTCATCGACGATGCTAAGAAGAACAACACTCGTCTCTTCCTTAGCCATCTAACACATAATACACACACTCCGTATTATAAACCTGGTGATTATAAGGAGATGATGGGAGATTTGTCGAATGACCGGAACGAGAAGTTGAACCGATACCTAAACACTATGGCCTACCAGGACGAGTGGATATCCGATATCCTAGAGCTTCTTGATGATGCCGGTATCGCCGATGAGACCCTTCTTGTGATGACTGGTGACCAGTAAGTTATGCCTATATCTCGCAGCCTCTCCAGCCTCTAACTTCATCTAGCGGTCTATCACTTCCAAATGACGGTGGAATAACTGCCTGGCATTCCCCTCACGTTGGTAATTTCCACGTGCCGCTATTTTTCTCGCATCCTAAGCTGCCCCAGCTGGAAATTAATAATGCTGTCCTCTCCACCCAAATTCTCCCCACGATCCTCGATCTTCTCGTCGAAACATCCTCAATTGACGAGGACTCGACTAAGATCATCAAAGATCTGCTCCCAATGTACGAGGGCCAATCGATGATCCGCACACTCATCCCCGAGCACAACGGCAAGCAAGAATGGCATTTCTCCACGATGAACCCTGGCGGAACGTGGTTCACTATGCGAGCGGCGGCACAGCCCTACCGCTTGGTCGTGCCTCTTAAGCCCGACGCTAAGTGGCGGTTCACCGATGTCGTGGCCGATCCATTCGAGCTCAAACCCCAGGAAGACCTCCAACTCTTATTCCTGGTCGACGCTGTGCTAAAGGAGCACGGCCCCGAGGCCGTGAAATGGCTCAGCGAGGCGGCCCATGTCGCGAAGTGGTGGCTCGGGGAGAACCACCGCCGCTGGAAATATGATCCTAAGAACCCGGAGAACAATTGAAGTCCTCTCGGGCGGAAGTGGCGCCGCGCTCTCTGATAGCGACGCCTGTTGGGGTCGAAAGCCGTGTGTTTCACGGGTATAGGTCCTAGTGATTTTGATTAAGTCACATTCGTGTACATAATGAGGTTTAGAAGGGTGTTTTGTATATTAATTGTCGGGGTGTTAATCGTGCCCGAGGTAGAACTATCTGTATTTTCCAGCAATGACTTTTGATCTTACCAGATGATCTTCCACATGTAATCATCTCCATGTACTTTTTAACATACTTCGGTGTCTCTCCAATGTGATGTTGCTGAAACATCTGAACCTCAGCGGGACCTCGATTTCACCGGTGAATTAGCATGCGATATCACCAACTCACCTGGTGGTAGAAGTCATTCTACGCAAGGTCAAGAGTTGTGATGGGTGAATATGTGCTCGAGATGCAGAAAAGAGGGTTCCCGTAGGGGAGTGGAGATGGAGGAAACGAAAGAGCTTGGGGTAATAGCAAAGGCTCCTAACACACTCCAAACTCTAGCTAATGAGGCTCCACCAGTGGAATCGAGTCTATCCAATACCCGTGCTTTATGTCCAAGGAAGAATGAGGATTTTGTGGAATTCGATCGGCACACCAATGAGATAGATGCAAAGCCGCAAGCTTAATACAAAATCCGCCGAGCCTGCTTTCAGTAGAACCGATGATTCCCCGCATTGTTTTTATCCACAGAGCGAAACTCTCGACTGTTGCCTGGCCCTTGGGCCTATTGTACATTTGCTATATCACTGGTCTGCTCACATTTTCCTAGGAAGTAATAAATATAAGGATTTGGATATCGAAATTGGAATCTATTCCTTCTTGGAAAGAGCCTCTGATAACTGAGTCTGTGCTCGTAATGACGTTTATTTAGTGATTCTGGCTAGGGTAGGTGAGCCTGAGCGGTTTTATAAAGCACCAGGATCCCATGTAGGAAAGGACCCACCCGGTAGACATTACCCTGTCTATATAGGGAGTACGGAGGACGGAGGACGGAGTTAAGCAAGAACCTATGGCCATTCTTGGAATGGACCTTAACTGTATTACCCTGATCCGTGCAATGGCAGGGGGAGTGGGGAGGAACGGGCCTTTCAAGGTTCACCATCGATGTAAGTGGCGTAAGGATGAAAGCAAAAGCCATGCTCACAAAACATGTGACAGATCATCCGCACTAAGTATCAGACCCCAGCGTACAAAAACTACGGGGGAATGCTGGGGGAATGTTGGGGAGATGTTGTCTCGGTGAGCGCAATTGGGATTTCCCCAGTCCTCCGCATCTTTCCCACGCGGGGAATGTCACATCAGACAATGAGAACAAACTTGGAAATCTAGATGATTATGAACCTAAGAACGTGGAAAATTATATTATTGAATCCACTTTCAATCCATGTAGCCAGTGAGAAGACCGAATGACTAAAACCAATTTACTTTGCAGCAAGCGAACGACCAGAAAAAAAAACAAGGAATAAAAACAGACACAATAATTGCCAACACTGGTCTAGAAAAGGGGAAAAACCACCGCAGGCCGAGTTCAAGCCGAGTCCACTTCGGCGAACCGCAGCCACTGAAGTTCACGAGAAGCCGTGTACCGTCCCGTTCTGGGAAAATGGCCGTAGACGGGGGCCCCGGACTATCGTGTGCTCGGGTCACCGGTTGAAGTGATATCCTTTTCATTCGTTGTTTTATAGGATGTGGACACTTCCGGCTAATTACATAAAACATGCAATACCCTCCATACCTTGTAAGATACCGAGGCCTTTTTCTTGACAGGGAAATGATTAGTGCCCACGAAATCTATTTTGTGGGTTAGGTCTGGGGATGCCTGGAAACTTTGCTGAATATGGAGTACATCGTATGCACGTTGACCCTTTTTAATTAACAAGAACCACATTCTTATTCCCCAAAAGCGTGTCTTTATATATCTATTTCTAATGCCCAGAAACGCCACTGCCGTGCCGATTATAGAGGTCCGACTCTCTCTCACCCGAACACGGAAGCCGTGTTCGGGGGCGGCGTCGAATTTGTGGCCGATTCATTCCCCGGATCCCAGTTTTTGCCGGGAGGGTTCACCAATCACCACCTAGCGGGTGGGTAAGTATAATTGAATTTCCACCAATCACAGTCCATACTAGTACCTGGGGTTGCAAGCGGAGTCTTGGCATAAGTTCTGTTGTAACTCTGCAATATTAATATCGCCTTATTTATTATTGTACAAAAACGGTCACATATTTTACGCTAATTTCTGTCCCCGGACATCCCAAACACGGGACAGGGAGTGGGGATGCAGGAAAACAGAGCAGAATAACACTAGTACCTATATGCGGGTGGTTTTTATTAGTTATTCATTCCTTACTGTAGAGAAGAGTTTTCCCGGCATGCGATCTATTTAAGCACAAGGTTTTCCCTCGTTCCATTTTGGGTTTTGGTTGTAGATTCATTTTACTTTACCCCATCATTTTCCCCTGGTTTGGGTTTAATAGTCACCATGTTTGTCGTGGGGAATCTCTACGCCATCACGGCGGTATCCGTCATTGGCGGTGCACTGTTCGGTTTCGATATCTCGTCTATGTCGGCCATTATCGGCACGCCGGCTTATAAGTGTTATTTCAATCATGGGCCTAGGGGCCCTCCATTCAACGATGATGACATCTGTAGTGGTCTCAGCTCCCTGGCTCAGGGTGGTGTTACCGCTGCCATGCCCGGTGGTTCTTGGCTCGGTGCTCTCATCTCTGGTTTCATTTCAGATCGTCTTGGTCGCAAGTATGCTATTATGATTGGTTGTGTTATTTGGTAAGTCGTTGCATGGTTGCATGGTGGTATCGTTGCGGTAGAGTTGATGTTGGGCCGTTGTGGCTAACATTCTGTTAGGGTTATCGGCTCCGTTATTGTCTGCGCTTCCCAGAACATGGGTATGCTCATCGCTGGGCGTGTTATCAACGGTCTCAGTGTCGGAATTGAGTCCGCTCAGGTCCCTGTCTATATCTCGGAGCTTTCTCCTCCCTCCAAGCGTGGTCGTCTCGTCGGCTCCCAGCAGTGGGCCATCACCTGGGGTATTCTGATCATGTACTAGTATGTGGCACACACCTGGCTTAACATTCGAAAAGGTGGATTAGTAGCTGACCTTTTTTTTTTTTTTTTGTTTCACAGTATCTCCTTCGGCTGTTCCTTCATCGGACATGGCAACCAGTCCACCTCCCACAACTACAGCGAGTCTGTCTTCCGTATCCCCTGGGGTGTGCAAGCAGTCCCTGCCGTTCTCCTCTTCTTCGGAATGATGATCCTCCCCGAATCCCCCCGTTGGTTGGCCCGTAAGGACCGCTGGGAAGAGTGCCAGTCGGTGCTTGGCCTAGTCCACGGCAAGGGCGACATAAACAGCCCCTTCGTGATCGCCGAGATGCAAGAGATCCGCGACATTTGCGAGTTCGAGCGCGAGAACAAGGACGTCAGCTATCTCGAGCTCTTCGAGCCCAAGATGATCCACCGCACCTTTACCGGAGTCTGGACACAAATCTGGTCTCAACTGACCGGTATGAATGTCATGATGTACTACATCACCTACGTCTTCACCATGGCCGGATACAAGGGCGATGCCACCCTCCTCGCTTCCTCCATTCAGTACATCATCAACGTGATCATGACTGTTCCCGCCCTGATCTGGGTTGACCGCTGGGGCCGTCGTCCTACTCTTCTGATCGGCGCTACCTTCATGATGATCTGGATGTTCGCCAACGCCGGTATTATGGCCAAGTACGGCGTGGTTGTCCCCGGTGGTATTGACGGTGTTGCTGAGGCATCAATGTTGCTCAGTGGCGCCCCTGCCAAGGGACTGATTGCATGCACATACCTGTTTGTGGCGTCGTATGCCCCGACCTGGGGACCCGTGTCATGGGTGTACCCTCCTGAGCTGTACCCTCTGCGCGTGCGTGGTAAGGCCGTTTCTTTGGCAACCTCATTCAACTGGGCCTTCAACACAGCGCTTGGTTTGTTCGTGCCTACCGCTTTTGCTACAATCCGCTGGCAGACGTACATCATCTTCGGTGTTTTCTTGGTCGCCATGATCATTCACGTCTTCTTCTTGTTCCCCGAGACTTCCGGTAAGTCTCTAGAGGAAATTGAGCAGATCTTCGAGGATCCCAACGGTATCCCTTACATCGGTACCCCGGCCTGGAAGACTACTCACGATACCAAGCGCACTATCGCTGCCGAGTCGGGTGATGTTGAGGTTCTTGGTGAGAAGCTGGCGGGTGCCGAGAAGCGTGCTGCTGCCCACACCGAGGTTGTCGATGCATAGGTGTTAAGCATGTATAGAACGGAAGGTTAAATGGCTCCGTTATAATGTCTGTCTTTTGGTTCTTTTTTCTTTTCTTTCTTGGGTTGGGCATGGTCAATGCCGATATGATGTCATGTAATACGATTCAACATCCTTGGAAATTGCGTATATCCACGAATTCAGTCTGATTGACATTTTTTATCCACTTCAATTCGCTCGTATTCGGAACTGTAGGATCGTAATCGTGTCTGAATCGCAAAATGGTCATCTCGTCCACGGAAGTCTCGCAAGTGTTGGCCTTCTGATTGGCAGTCGTAGACGGATTCACAATCAGCCCAGGATGTATATATATATATATATATATATACCTAGGTAGTCTTGCGAAGAGTAAACTTGTCCAATCCGAAAGGCGCATCAGACAAAGAATTGCCAAGATTTTCCGATCGGAGCTGCGAAGCTGTCTGGTCGACGGGGTGGAGTTCACCCCTGGAAAAAAAAAATGGATGATCGCCTTTCACGATCTTCTCTCTATCCGATCGTTCCGGTTATGAACATCTCTTTCCACTTCTCATTTCTTCTATCCATCTCTTTCCATTGGAGCACGTGAACTCGAACCCCCCGAGTCCGAAAAGGGTACGAAGCTCGAGTTTCCTACAATCGTCATGGTTCGCCCGCGGGGAAGCTCAGCCTTGGGCGTGGACATTCGAGGTGACACCAGCGCACCAGCCATGTCCACAATGAACGAAGTGAGCCCGATCGAACCAACATCACCGGGTCTGAAGGTATGCATCGAAAATTGTCGCCCGCACATTCCAATCCCCATACTCACTCGCGATCCCGCTAGCAATTTGATGGCGCACAAAAACAGGCCAGCAAGCCCCATACCAAACGGCGTCGCGCCCGCTCCCTCCTCCACCGGTTCGCCGATATCTGTCTGCGATACACATGGCTCCTACCGCTTCTCATAATGCTCTTCATGATCGCACTGTACGCCGTCAACCCCACAACCTCGAACCCAATGCACAGCGCCATTTTCCTGTCCTACCCGCAACCCCCGAAGACTCCCGGCGGACCCATCATGTACGGCAAAGGCAAGAAGGACATTGCGTTTGTGGCGTTCTACACCATCGTTTTATCGTTCACGCGCGAATTCATCATGCAGCAAATGATTCGGCCATTTGCTGTGTGGTGCGGTATCCGCGGGAAGGGAAAAACAGCGCGGTTCATGGAGCAGGTATATACGGCAATTTACTTTGGCGTATTCGGGCCGTTTGGTCTGTATGTGATGAAGCGGTCGAGTATCTGGTACTTTAACACGACCGCGATGTTTGAGGGTTTCCCACACCGTGAGCACGAGGGTCTGTTCAAGGCATACTACCTGCTCGAAGCGAGTTACTGGGCTCAGCAGGCCATTGTCTTGATGCTGCAGCTGGAGAAGCCTCGCAAGGACTTTAAGGAGCTTGTTGGTCACCATATTATCACGCTTGCTCTTATCGCGCTGAGCTACCGCTTCCATTTCACATATATGGGCTTGGCGGTGTACATCACGCACGATATCTCCGACTTCTTTTTGGCCACCTCTAAGACGCTCAATTACCTGGATGCGTATATCACTGCGCCGTACTTCGCCATGTTCATTGGATGGTGGGTTTACCTGCGTCATGTGCTGAACCTGAAGATCCTCTGGGCTGTTCTGACCGAGTTCCGCACTGTTGGGCCATTCGAGCTGAACTGGGAAACTCAGCAGTACAAGTGCTGGATCAGTCAATATATCACCTTTGCGCTGCTCGCCAGTTTGCAGGCTGTAAACCTGTTCTGGCTGTTCCTGATCCTGCGCATCTTGGCGAACTACATCTTCACCAATGTCACAAAGGACGAGCGCAGTGAGGATGAAGAGGAAGAGGAAGAGTCAGAGCCTGTCAATGCGACCAAGGCAATTGCCACTGGCGCAGACCAGACCGGCAAGGAGAACCACGCACCCCAGGTTCTGATCAACGGTGAGCCTGTTGCCGAACAGCGTGGTCCTCGGACTCGCAGCAGAAAGGCGTAAGCCGAGCGCCTTCTGTTAGAGTTCGATCGATTGCCATTCAATCGATTATCATTCAATCGGTGACCCAGGCATCCAACCCGGGAATTTTCACCGTGTTATAGTTATACTTTTTTTTGGATCGGGTGGGTTACCGGATGATCCTCTGGATGTGTTGATATGCTGTTAATGTATTTGTTGAAGCTGGGTCTGAGTTTGGTGCATTGGCTGTGCCAGTTGGATAGCCCTTTAGAAGAGCGGGCGCCGGCGCTTGTTTTTGACGAGCATATGAATTAAGTAATTTTGACTGGATTGCCAGTCTCTTAGTGTTCTGTTGACATTCATGTGCTTCATCTGTGTTTCATAACATATTGTCGCTTTCATGTCAACAGTCTTTCTTTGAATCGATGTATGTTATTTAGCAAACAAATATGAACTCAAAGAAACCTCTCAATCTATATATATATATCAACGTAGCGTAAGAAATCAAACATAGTTTCATTTGAAAATAATTCCTCCCAGCGACATGATATCGGAAGGGTGGATGATTCAAGTAGAACGCAGATACGGCTTCCTACCCTCTAGCCAAAAAGCAATATCTACACTACTTCTACTAATCTCCATTGTCTATTATTCACACGAATATTGAGGGTTGAGACTGATCTACTGAAATTACTTTCCAGGTCACTTTGAATACGGTCAAACAAAATATAAATGTCGTCATATTGATCGAGATAGCAAGAAAGCAAGGACGCAAGGACACAGCAACAGTCATTTTTGTAACATGAAGTGAAAATGTTGTAACAATATTGGAGATGACTCAAGGCCCTGAAAACTCAAGAAGAAAAGAAAAGCAATAGCTTAAATGGTAGTCATTTGCAAATGACCACATGTGGCTAGAAGCGCCGAGGTTGTGAAGGACTGCGTTGAGTATCGATCATAGGGTTGACAATTCTTTTGTTCGTCTTTTGTCGATACGAGGATTAAGAAGGCCGAAGGGAAACACAAATATCGACGACCGACGCTCGAAACCAGGTCTGTTTATCCAGGCACAGTCATATGTTTATCCGGAGCGGCAAGCGTATTTCATTTGTCGAGTTGCCTCGTTCGCGTTATTGGTTGGTTCTTTCGCCATATGTCTGGAGTGTACACAGGGGATTTCGATATTTTCGTCCAAGGACTCAAAGTATCTAAATGATCCAGATACACCACTGTCGGTATGCATTGTCCAATTCCGGCACGCGCGGAGGATGTCGAGACCAAACGACGAGGGGTATAAGTGAAGCCAGTCGGAAACTAGAGTTGTGTCGAAAATGCTTTATCAGACCACCGGAATGAGTGGTCTTGTACTGTCTGGGATCGGGATCAAGCTATGCTTGTAATGTTGGAAGTAGTCGAGCTCCATTTTCCTGATTCCTGAGAAGTTCCCCCAGAACTAGTGGTCTTGCACTGCTTGGGACCGAAGCTAATCTATGCTTGCGATGTATGAGGTCATCGAGCTCCATTTTCCTGATTCCCAAGGAGTTCCCCCAGAACGAGTGGCTTTGCATTGTTTGCTATCGTGGTCAAGCTATGCTTGTAATGTTGGGTATAGTCGAGCTCCATTTTCCTGGTTCCTAAGGAGTTCCACCGCAACGAGTGCTCTTCCACTGCTTGGAACTGAGGTCGGGCTATTTCTGTGATCCATGAGGTATTCGAGCTCCATTTTGCTGGTTCCTACAGAGTGAGGACGATCGGTGTATTAGAGGGCATTCGACGGAGTCTGGTGTATTTCCCCTATAGAATCAGGGCCTTAACCATGGCGAGGTGCGAAATTCAAGCATTTGAGGAGAGACTTGAATATGCCCACCACCATGACTGGCCTCATTAAGGCAGTGCGGTATTTGAGGTCGCCGCTCCCTAAAATTCGAGTATTATTAGTAATGAACTTCATCCAAGATAAAGAGGGTATTCTTACAGTTTTTTCCCCTCTTTTTGGGATGAATCAAACAAGAAACAACACCAAGGTAAGTAAGCGATGATCCCAGGAAGAGATTGACCAGAGCAATGGAGAAAAAACGCCACCGGCACAACCCTTTCCTTTGGATGGAGTAGAAATCAATGAAGATCAAGGTAGTAAAAGAGAAAGAAAAGCTCTGGGGTCTCGTGCCCTATTTATAATATTCATAACGTGGTGCATGTGGTTCCCCAAATCTCGTATGGTTCGTGACGTTACGAGGTACACTGGTCTGGTCTGAATACGAAACCTTTGAGTCTTAAACCATACAGATCACTGGCAATTTGGAGACATACATACATGTAATTCTGTTTTACCTAGGTACATATGTATTCACTACCGTTCACAATTACGACCTAATTGGTCATCCATTCTCCCAATGGCTGCTTATAGCCTTGCCGACAAAGCTTGCGTTGGATAACCTATTGAATTGGTTCTCTCGTTCTCTTTCTTACAATAGACAATTGCAAATATAGTCAATCTAGTTATGACAATCCAGTTTAGAGCCAAAGGCTACGATCTACAATACCTTTCCTGGCTTAGCATCCCTTTGACCCGTGAATAAACGATCAGGCTGATGAACAACTAAAGTGTTTCTTAACGTATACCGCACCATGTACTAGTAGGCATCGGCTGCTTTGATAATGAACGAATGGGGAATGTAATAATAATGGGGCATCCACGAATACGAATTTACGAATACAATACGAATAGAGACGACAACATTGAATCCTTATTATGTATTATGGCTTTTCGGGAAAGAGGTACCTAGGTAGTGGTTATTCAAGTACTTATGTATGTACATATGTATGTACTTCCCTTTAAATACCAACTCTTCTTCGTAAAGCGTCGTCTTTCTTCCCATCTCTGCCGATCACCACATCTACATATCACTCGTCTATCATCGTCCTCCTTGTGTGCACTGCTCGAAGCAGTCACTATGGCGATGGACACGCCATTCGGTTCGCTTGATGGCGCTCCGCTCTTCACCCAATTCGCAATCACCCAAACGGAGAAGTTAGCGGAATTCATCGAAGAATTCGAGAAGGAGGACAAACCAGTCCCTGAATATCTTACTGCAGGCATCGTTGAGTTGGCATTCCATCTACAGAGATTCCGACCCGATGACGATATCCAACTGTTCCTTGTCCCTGGCATGGACCCGGAAGAAATCGTTTACAACAACCTCGAAGTCGCCTGGTGGCTCTCAGCCTGTCTTTATTTCTACAACCGACTTGTTGACACTTTCAATGACAACGTTCCCTTCTCTGTCGATGCAATCTTGATGTGTCTACTCCGCGCCGAAGAAATCAAGACCATGACGGAACCCGATGTGCTGCGCCGCCGTGATCCCGTCACCTTCCCGGCTTTTGTGGCAGCCTGCAATACCTCCTTCCGCCAGTCGTGGATCTATTGGTGGCGTTCCGTTCTACAATACGACAATGACACTGTCATTCCCCAATGGTTGACTATCAAGCTCGTTTGGGCTATCAAGCAGTCCAGGGCCGCTGATGTGAATTTCTCTTGGGTGGAGATTCTGCGAGGAATCGACAGGGAAGCATCTACTATTTCAGCTCAGTATGAATCGCTTGGCTTTTATTCTTGAATATGCCCATGCAATTTGAACTTTGTGAATTTGGCTAGTCTTGTTCACACAAGAGGTCTCTATTTGTGATCTTTTCCGTTGTCTCTAGGTCTCTATGTTATGTCCAACTGGCTTGGCATAATCAAGAATGCTGTACCTAGCCTAAGGATCAATTTCTTAAATCCATTTGCTGATTTGCTTTACATGACTCTCCTTATATAACTGGCCGAACCACGATTGTAAGATTTATATGGGATGAAAAGCTTTATTCTCATTATCTTGGGCTGGTAGAACCAATGTACATTGCTTGTTAAGGGAGCTGTAATAGTAATGTATGTCACAACCCGTCCAAACAAAGGGTTTTGTTTGTCACGTGGTGTCACGTGGCATCGGAGCTGGGGTATGCGAGGATAGTTTGCTGGTTTGCGGCTGGCTATGTCGGGTTGTGACATCGCTGATTAAGCAATGCATGTATCTATCATATATCATATATGGTACTCGACATTTTTACTACTTTAAAGGTTACGCATAGCGAATTAACTTGCATAGAGTAGTTTTTTTCCTGCCTTTGTATACAGAGTACATTTAAAAAGACATGACAAAGCCGCATAAGCAGCTGCACTGGGCAGCCAAGAAGCCATAGTGGGAAAGTGAAATACCCGAACGCGGGTATTTCAATCAAAATTTCCGCCATCTCCACTCCTCTCTTACATCGCCCCGAGATAGCCACCCATGGACCATGCAAAGAGAAGAGGGAGAGGATCTCTTGAATATGAGTATCAGCGGGTATATAAGGCTTGCATCCCATGTGCGCAACGCAAAGTGAAGTGTGAGGCTAGCGACAATGTGAGATGCCGCAGATGCAGCAACAAGAACATCAATTGCACATTTACTTCAAAGAAACCCTGGTCAAGAGGCCAAAGGAATTCTGCTTCGACGCTGTCCCAGGAAAATACAGGTGGGAATGGGTCTAATAAGTGTGTTTGCCTTCAGTCTAAGAGATGAGTAGAATTAATTTGGATAGGTCACGGAGAACTACCCGAAGAACTGAAGAAAACACCGAGATTATCGGCGAGTATTCTATGCAAATTGTGGAGGAGGTAAATTGTAGCTAATTCAGGCTCATCTTACAGACTCTCATTCAGATTCACCGGCCAATCAAGATGGCCTTTCCACATCAGTACTGCAGACAGTAGTTTCGAATAACAACGATTCAATGAATATTTTGTTCGAGGCTGCACTTCAGGAATCAAATAATTCCTCTCGGAATACGTCAACGACAGATAATTCACGACCGATAGCTCTCGAACTAAGCGACGTCGATGTCCTCCGCATTTGGAATGCATGTCGATTCGTGAGAATGGGATGGTTCTCTGCCCAGGAAGCTGTGGTTTTGATGGACCTGTATGTTATACATTCTATTGAATACTTGGGCCGCTATACTGACTTCGAATCAATTAGCTTCTTCGAAAACATGGCACCCCTGTCGCCTGTCCTCACAGACTTTTTCGCCTCGCATAAAAACCAATACTATCTAGTAACCCAGGAACCACTGCTTTGCTACACTATACTCATGATTTCCTCCCGATACCATACTCTTCCGGGAGTGGGCGGGTACTCTCGCTCATTCTTCATTCATCACCGCCTGTGGCAACATTGCCAACACCTGCTTCTTCGGATTACCCTCGGGCAGGAGAAAATATCGAAAGCCAAAACACGCACGATAGGAAGCATCGAAGCATTACTACTCATGTCCGAATGGCATCCACGAGCATTACAATTTCCACCAGAGGCGGATGGATGGGATTCGGACTTCCTCTTGACAAACCCGGACATCAGAGATCCGCCTTCTCTAACTGAAGACGTCCCAGTATCTTCCCGATGGCGCGAAGATGTGGTTGAGCCCACAAAGCGGTTTGAACGTATGTCCTGGATGGTTCTCAACTCGGCTTTGGCTCTCGCACACGAACTCGGTGTGTTCGACTCGAGCGCTCGACTTGCCAGGCAAGATGATCTGGTTGGTCTTGATGCTGAGCGATACCTTGAATACCTCGAGGTGCGACGACAGCGGCTACCGAGTCTATTATTCACGTCCATCAATGCTTTATCGTCACGAATAGGTTGTACCTCGCCAGTGCCATCTGATATCGGGATCTTCATGCCTGAAACGCGAACATCTTTACAGTCTATTGATAGAGACTGGTTACTGTTCATGAACGCCTGGATTGAACTCATGAAGCTGACCACTTCGGTCACGGATACTCTCTTTCCGCTTATGAATATTTCCAGCTCTGCTGGATCGCCGGATACATTCATCCCTGTGTTGGAGAAGAAACAAGTTCTATTGGCGAGCTGGCAACAACGATATCTCAATATTTCAGGTATGATATTGAAATGCCAGAATCTACATTTTATCACTAACTTTAGGCAGACTCGAGCTTTCCCTACACTGACACTCTATTCATCGAGTATCAGCATCTACGCATCCTTACCAACTCCATCGGAATGCAAAGGATTGTCCAGCGAGTGCTTCAAATTCAACCCCAGCCCCCATCACGAAGAGATTCAATTATCGACTTCTCTTTCATCGAACGGGCAAGACAGCTAAACATTACAGCAAGAGAATACGGCTTCATCGAAGAAGTAATAGACGGATGCTGCCAAACCCTCGACAAAGTAACCCTCTTGGGTGGGACTTTACATTTCTCACCAATGAGAATACTCTTCCGGACAATAAGCGCGTCAATATTTCTTATGAAAGCTCTCGCTTTGGGAGTACGAAATTCAAAGCTGCAGGAAGCACTGGACATCCTCGATAGGGCTATCGCCACACTGCAGGATAACAATCATGATGATGTGCATTTGAAATCTCGCTATGCGGCTCTTTTACAAGTCCAAGTCTCGCGTCTGCGAGAAAGTCTGGTGTCCTCATACTCCGGGGTCGGAAATGATCTCCCTTCTCCTCACTCGTATGGGGACATGTCGGCTATGGAGCTGGGGGATTTCTCAGATATTACTATGAACGACTGGTTATCGTTGCCTCTGGATCCTTCCATGGCGCCTTTTGGATCTTCAGAAGGGGATTTTGGGGTTCGGCTGGATGGTGTTGATTTGGATTTGGATTTTTTGTGGCAATTACCTCCATGAAATTATAGCACCGTATAAAACAAAGAATGAAATTCCAAGCTTCCAATAGTATATTTTAGTCAACAAACAATATAACGGCTGGCGGCATAAACAACACGAACTATTCAAGCCCCCCTCAAGTCAAATACCGAAACTTAGGATTATTATCACCCGCATCAGTAACATCAACCCTCTCATCCACACCAACAACCCCATAAACTCGATCCCGTCGCCGATTCTCCAAAGTCAGCTTAACACTCAATCCCATAGCCAAGACAGCAATCAACCCGGTAAAAGCACACCCAATCCCACATCCTAGAGTATAGAGCGGTGCGTCAGAATTAGGAAACACAGAGCTACTAACCAAGCTAGAACACTGTCCAAAAACAGCAAGAATAGCCATTCCAGCACCCCTTTTACTTTCCCCGCCCTGGTTATCCATCAACCAAGTTATATTCAGCGCGAGAGCAGGAAAGATCCCACAAGTCGCTAGCCAAACACCGGCATACCGAGCCGCGGTGTTTGACTGGTCTTGCACACATGTGAGAAGTAAATACCCGATTGTCGCTATCGTTGCGAAAAATGTAATTAGGATTCCTCGTTTTCCCCATCTGTCTGAGAGGAAAGCGGCTGATACGCAGCATAGAAAGGAGGCGAGATAGGGTGGTGCTGATAAGCCTTGAGCGTTGATGGAAGTGTATCCCATATGCTGGATGATTGTTGGGAGGAAATTTGAGAGTCCCGCGAAAGAGTAGTTGCAACAGAAGTGAATAAACATGTGGATGTAGTTTTTGTAGTCTGATAATCCGCTTAGGACCTGGGACCAGCGGACCTTGTTTTTCTCTGTTGTATCAAATGATTGGAGGCGTTCTACTGCTTCTGTTTGTTCTCTTTCGTCTAGGAAGGATGCTGAACCTGGTGAGTCCGGGAGGAAAAAGAATACTACCACGGAGAAGAGGACTGTTGGTGCGCCTTCTGTTTCTAGTTAATGCCGAGGACGGTTGGAAGTAAACGGTAGGTTAGTATCTCACCAATGATAAATAGGTATCGCCATGGCTCTATAGATCCCCTGATGTGGGTAATACCATAGGCAAGAGCAGAAGCAAAACAATTGGCAACTGGAGACATCCCAAGGAGTATTGATACCCGGAGGCCTAGTTCCTGTCTTTGGTAGAATAAAGAGAGGAAATATGGTGCACCAGAGCCAAAGACGGATTCGAAGATACCCAGCAAGGACCGAGTGGCGAGGATCTGAGGGAAACTGTTGACTGCACCACTACACATTGCAGCTGTGCCCCAGCTTAAAAAAAAAAAAGCCGGCATGCTTAGCAGGGAACCAAAGTATGATTTTATTCGGGCACTTACCAAATGCAGAGAACGGCAACGTAGGAATGTGCTGGGAGAATCTTCCATAGGACCGTAGTCCAATCGAATAGAATGTAGCAGATATAAAAGGCATACAAGACCCAAGACCATTGGTAGTCACTGAGTTTAAGATCCTTGTCGAGTCCAGCAGCCTTGGCGTTGCCGATATTTCCTAGTTATTGATGAGATAGAAGATTGGATGAGCGAGTTCGGTATGCTTACCTCGATCCAAGTAGGATAGAATGTAGAGAATACATACAATTGGCAAGACCCGACGATCAAACTAATAAATATTAGGCAAAACCTCAGGCACATGGTAGCAAAGTGATGATGAACCTTTCTGCGGATGACCGACTGGCACTCTTGAGGGATCACCACCTGAGGCTGGTCCTTCTCCGAGTCATTGGACTCGACATGTTGGGAGCTCGGGCTCTGATCGGATTGATTCTTTTCCGCCATACCTGACTGCATTCAATATGTTGAAAATAGGTATGAAAAACCAGAGTGATTGCTGACCTTAGGAGCAGCAGTGACAGGGGGCAAGCGCTGGTTGAAATATGTCCATCTCTTGGTGATCAATGCGCGGCAATTGATGAACATTTCGTATAGATCCGGTCCAATAGAAGTGCGTATATTGCATCCTAGCACTCAAAGTCTTCCATACCCCGTGGGGAAGACGCGGGTAGAGGCTGTATCTGCTGGATTCCCCGCAAAATGACGGGTGTTCTGCATACACGGTCGAGTAAAGCTGGGGAAACCATTTACTTTGCCAAGGGCTATTTTCCAGCCAATCTGAATGTTTCTTTGTTGAGGGGAAAAGCGTTGGGTGGATCATCATTCGGGTAGCGGATAGTTGCCAATATCCGTCAAATTCCCGCTCTGAAAAGCGATGAACTAAAAGACCCCGATGTCGTATTTAAACCGTTTAAAATCTATCAAAGGGCTTCAATTGAATTTGCAATCATCATTTCAATCAATCCAAGAAACCGAATTTCACAATGTCTTCCACCACAATCCCCTACCCCTTCCACTTCGATTCTCTCACAGAGACAGCAGCCGGGTCCACGGATGGGAAGACAGCAGACTTAACTTTGACATTGAAAAATGTCCGAGGAAAGATCCCCTCCCTCGAAGCATCCCGCCTGAGAACAATGATGCTAGAGGCCCACAATGACCCAACCAAGATCCTAGCACACGCCTGCAGCTACGACGGCCTCTCCTCCCGTCTCGTCGAAGAAGCAGGCTTTCCCATGGTTTTCCTTGCAGGTTATGCCGTCGCCAGCTCCTATGGTCTCCCTGATACGGGATACATCGCCATGGCCGAGGTGTGCGATAAGATCCGCGATGTGGTCCGCCAGGTTTCGGTTCCCGTTATGGCGGATGGTGATACCGGTTACGGGAGCCCGATGAATGTGAAGAGGACTGTTGAGAGCTTTGCTAATGCCGGTGCGGCTGGTGTTATGATTGAGGATCAGCAATGGCCGAAACGTGAGTATTCCGGATTATTGAGGTCCTAAAACCGTTTCGTAGAAGGGCCCTTCGCTAACAACGAGTATTCAAATAGGTTGTGGCCATACAAAGGGGAAGAGTGTCGTCTCTCGTGGTGAAGCATTCGCTCGAATTCAAGCTGCCTGCGATGCTCGCAATGAAGGAAAGGATATTTTCATCCTTGCCCGTACTGACGCGTTGATCCACGGTTGGGAAGAGGCCATGGCACGTGCACAAGAATTCAAGCGTATCGGTGTTGATGCTATCTTTGTTGAGGCACTGCCAGATGCGGAGGCGATGAAGCGATGTGCGGAAGAAATCGATATTCCTGTTTTCGGTAATATCATTGAAGGTGGAAAGACGGAGAACTTGTCAGCCAAGGACCTTGCTGGGCTTGGGTACAGTGCTGTTGCATACCCTTGGACATTGGTTGCGGCGCATCTTAAGAGCGTGCGATCTGCTTTGGATGGTCTTAAGCAGAGTATGCTTGTTGGAGCTCCGCCGATGATTTTGACTTATGATCAGGTTTGTGAGGGGGTTGGGTTTAATAAGTACTGGGTATGTTTTGTACTTGAATTTTTTGAATATATGCTAACTCTCTTATTTAGGACCAGGAGGAGAAGTACAAGTTTGACGCTTGAGTCGGTGCATTGGTAACTTTATCTTGTGCTATCAATGATAGAATGTGTATCTTTGACTGTTTGAGCTCGGGAGACGTGGTATATAAATTACCTGCATAAGGAGTTATATCAGTATCTAATTAGGAATGTGATATAAAGTCGACTTTGAGATCTGAGCCACAATAATATTTTGTCCTTCGTATGAATGTCCTTTTCCACCTAATACCGGCGAGCAATATGTGTTAACTTTGCAAAGAGGACATAACACCGTTTTGTCTGAGCCTTCAATGTTGTATGTGACGTTAATATGTTCTCCTTAAATGCATACAACATGTCTAGGTATTCAATGTTCTATGTTGATACTGGATACTCAAATCGATTGTTAAACACTGCCGGAACAAAGGGCTTTATGTGTCACGTGTCGGTAGACTTCAGTCAAGCTGGTTTGTTTCTTTCTCTTCCTCTCTCTTGCTTTCCGTGCTTCTACTATTGGAATCTTCAAAAGAGCGGGGAAAAAAGTACCACGGGCGACATATTCTAGTTAGCGACTAGCTATCCCAAAACGACATCTAAAAAGACGTTTCAAAAGACTTTTCAAACCCATATCGAAGGAATACTAATTATAACTTCTATACATGTATAAAAACAATTCGATCTTCGCGTCACCTAGCCCTGCATCATCAAATGCTAAAATAATATAAGCGGTCAACTATTACACTTCCATATAAGTGCCCATGTCCTCATTAGCATTACACCAAGCCGACAGAATAAACAATAAACTATCGTTAAAAAAAATTGTTTTAACACGTTAATGTGACTAGTATTTTATATCTCGTATCTAGTAGAGGTATAGGTATATAAGTATGGAGAAAGGACATCAAACATTGACATGTTAAAACATCATCCACAATTTTGGTTTTCTGCAGCCGCTTAAGACAAAGTAAGGCATCTTCAGTTCTTGGACTCGCCATCATTGCTCTCACTCTTTCCAGCATCCTCCTTGGATTCATCCTTCTTGGGCTCTTCCTTCTTGGGCTCTTCCTTCTTGGGCTCTTCCTTATTGGGCTCTTCCTCCTTGGAGTCATCTTTCTTGTCGTCATTGCTTTCCTTCTTAGTGTCATAATCCTTGGGCTTCTCGTCCTGGTCTTCCTCCTTGGACTCTTTCTTTTCCTCGGGCTCTTCCTTCTTATCCGACTTTTCCTCGCCCTTGTCCTCAGTCTCCGTCTTCTCCTCCTTTTCTGGCACCGCCTCGGAGGAAGGCTCGTCAGGCTTCTCCTTGGAAGCCTCCTCTACCTCGCTGTCCTTTTCCGCGTGTTCGTCCTTGTGTTCGGCGCCGTGAGCGTCCCCGTGAGCGTCGTGGTGTCCCTCCGAACCGGAAGGCCAGAGATAAAATACCATTGGAACGGTCACAGCAGCAGAGGCCGCCAACCTACAATCAGACATAATTAGAAAACCAAGTCGAATTGCCCGCAAGCAAGAGCATAAACTCACCAAGGTAAGTCGCTGGATGTAGGCCCTTTTTCATAGCTGCCACCAGTGGACTTGAATCGGCGAGCGAGGAGCTGGGCAGACTGGCGTGCAATGGGAGCGGCACGGAAGGACTGAGCTGCAGTCGCGGCACGGAAGATTGAACGGCGTGCAAAGACCATCGTGTAGTAGCAACCTGGGTACGAATAGAGTAGAAGGGATAGAGAATATGGAAAGTGTAATAGTTTGAGAGTGAATTGTTTAGGTAGTACGAAGTAAAGTACAGAGTAGAGTACAGATTTAAGCTAACTACGTACAAAACCACCTGGGCAGAGCTTCCCGGTTTTCGCAAGTAAACCTTGAAGTGTCGTAAGACCGCTTGTTAGTTGTTTCCGAGTTGGTCTGTGCGTCGTGATGTAATGGATGTGGCTGGGCCAGGTATTCAGTACTTGAAGAATACACTTAAATTTGGCGGTTTGGAATGTAGCTTGTACTCCCAAAAGACACATGGGGTACATCTTTTAATACCTCGGTATGGTATCGATAGAACTGGCATTCTTTTGGAGGTTGGACCCGTTCGATATCAGGTGGATCTCAACGATCTATCGGATTATCAGATCAAATAATTGGAGAACGGATATTTAATATCAACTTCATTGATATATAACCTTGAAATGATCATCTAGGTATCATAATAAAAAAAACCATTGGTCCTAAGCAAGTAGTTTGTGCTAATAAGAAATATATAACTCGATATTTTGAGATGTTGAGTACTTGCAATGTCGTGCCTCAGGCCATAAATAATTGACACCTTAGGTGTCAACACCCCACGTTGCGGCGTTAATCGAAAGCTACCACCGCAAGCTCTCCCGGGTTGCCTACATACATACACGCAACTTCACTCGTCACCTTGAGAGGAACTTTCCCTCAGTCCAACCTCATTTCCCAATAACACTCACAGCCACATCAATATGGCGGACCGCCAGGTTACCCAGCAGACAATCTTCACTCTGCTATCGAAGCTTAATGACCCCGACGCCGACTTGAGATACATGTCCTTGAACGATCTATATGGGATCCTGACCAACCCGAACTCTTCATTCCTCTCTCACGATCGTGGCACATCAACAAATCTCGCAGAAGGTCTACTTAAGGCCCTAGACGATCAACACGGCGATGTGCAGAACCAGGCCCTCAAGTGGTTCGTCCTGAGCGCTATTCCCCTCTAGTACTGCCAAAGTCTAACCTGAACCAGTCTCGGTCCTCTTGCTGTTCGCTTGCCATTCGAATCTCTTACGCCTCTCCTCGAGCAGTTGGCCAGTCTGACTGCCTCACAGACGATAGACACATCCGTCCCCAACACTGCTCTTCGCGTGATCGTCGATACCCTCCCTCGTCCCCAGTCAGGTCAGCCTGCATCTCAAAATGCGATTACGGCATACACGGCAGTTTCAAAAGTCTTGGTCCCCCGTTTGACCGGGCCGACACCCTCGGGCACGGGGCGGCGGGGCTCAATGGTGAAGAGCATGATGGAGAAGGATCCATCGCGGGGCTTCAGCAGTGATGCCATCGATGTGCTCATCAAGGTCGTGACATGCTTTGGACCTCTTCTCCAGGAGTCAGAGCTCGCTGCCCTTCAAGCATCCGTCATGGCCATCATCCAAAATGATACGGCTGGAACTGTTGTCACTAAGCGTGCTCTGACAGCCATATCGGCGCTTGTGCTCCACTTTTCCGACAGTCAGCTCAACGGATTTGTGTCGAATCTAACGAAAACATTGTCTTCCAACATTTCCATGGTGCAGCGTCGGCACTTGATTGCTGCAATTGGCGTCATTGCGAGAACTGCCCCTGCGAAATTCGGTCCACACCTGGACACCCTTGCTCCCTTTGTCTTCTCAGCAGTCGGCGAGGATAACATAACCCGGACAAACTGAGTTGCCACAATCACTTGGTCTACAACTGATAGATGCCTGACCGACACTGTACTGTAGCCCAGACTACTCCATGTGATGCTGAGAGCTGCTACATGAGCTTGATGTGCCGCATCTGATCTGAATTAGCTCTATGTGGTCACGTCGTGATCATACTTATCGCAACCACTAGGTTGCGGTTTGCTGGATTTGGAGAAAAAAAATTGTACTGGGCTCTTAGGCCAACCCCTCCGATGCCCAAGATGGCCATGGAATTCACGATACCCACGTTCATATTGACTACAAGCGCGTCAACATACACTTCTACATCCTTATGTAAAGGTTGGGAGGTCTTGCTGGGAGGTTTGCTCCTGCCTTTTGTGTTTTAAAGTAAACAAATGCCTTGAAGCTTCCTCGCTCTTTCCTTTTCCGTCCTCCTGCCTCTTGTAGAAATTAGCTCATCCATTACCCTTGCCCGAGGTCCTACTTGTCTCTTCTCTCTTCTCCCACAGTCACCTCGTGCTATCATCCCAACCCATTACTTCTTGCATACCCAGTTGAACATAACTTAATCCTATATACCATTTTCAAGATGCGTATTCAACCCATCTTGGTTGCTACTTTGGCGACGTGTGCATTTGCTAAAGTGCATGGCACCGCTCCTGTGCACACGGTCTTGATTGAACAATCTCAACCAGAAACCGAGTCTCATTTGAACACCCGCGATGCCCCCAACAATTTGGACTATCGCTGTGGCCCCAAGATCGGCAAATGTCCAGTCGGCACATGCTGCTCTGGCTCAGGTATGTGTCAAAACTGTGTTAGGTTGAGCAGCTTACTGATGAAATTTCCGCGATAGGCTTCTGCGGCACATCTAAGGCACACTGTCGCTCTCCAGACTGCAAGATTGACTACGGTAAATGTGACGCTCACCGGTCGCCTGATGGACCCCCAACCAAGGAAATCCCCCGTCCTCACATCGGTCAAGTTCCGTACGGCCCTCGTGAGATTCGTTCATGCGCTATCCCCGGAACTGTTGCATTGACCTTTGACGATGGCCCGACACGCTACACTGGCGATCTGCTGGATCTGCTTGACAAATACGATGCAAAGGCGACATTCTTCATCACTGGCATCAACAATGGAAAGGGTCCTATTGATGACCTCTCCTTGCCGTGGGCTTCATTAATCGAACGCATGCACTCGAGTGGCCACCAGATCGCCAGCCATACGTGGTCGCATGAGGACCTCAGCAAGATAACTCCTACACAACGCAATGAGCAGATTGAAAAGAATGAAGCTGCGCTGCGCAATATCCTTGGACAATTCCCCCACTTACATGCGGCCGCCATATTCCAGCTGCAACCCTGACACAGAGTGCGGAAATGACCTGGGCCAGCTTGGGTACCACATCATTTTGTATGACATTGACACGGACGACTACAAGAACGATAGTCCGGATCTGATTCAGCGGTCCAAGGATATCTTTGATCACCAGCTTTTGTACAGCGACCCACGCACCAAGTCTTGGCTTGTCATTGCCCATGACGCCCATGAACAGACTGTCCATAACCTCACGGAGCATATGCTCAAGAGCATCAAAAGACAGGGCTATCGCGCCATTACCGTTGGTGACTGTCTCCGAGATCCCAGGCCACTCTGGTACCGCAAGGATAGCCGGATGCCCACCCACAAGAAGAAGCCCAAGAAGACTGCTTCATCGGCAGATCCCAACAAGCCGATCTCTTGGGACGGCTCCTGCGGTTCCAATTACACTTGCCTTGGGTCTACCTATGGCTTTTGCTGTGGTAGTACTAACTCTTGCGGCAACACCACCAGTCATTGTGGAAAAAGCTGTCAAAAAGATGCCGGATATTGTTCCGTTGAGGCCCCTTACAATGGGGATGCCTGGGACCCAAAGGTTGAAACCAAGAGCCACAAGTCCGAAGCAGATTCTGATTTCCGAACTATTAGCACCGCGGCTGCCACATCGTTGTTCCTTGCTTTGATCGTTGCGATGTGGATGTGATGCATCATCTTGATTTTTGGATTGGATTGCCATGATTGTTTGGTCAAGTTTACATTGTCGATATTATAGTTATGCTTTCATGTTGTGGCTTTAGTGTGGCCGCTCCATTCGTTTGAACTTATTGACAGACACGGCAGAGTTAGTTAGCTCATGGAATAGGAATCATCAACAAGTAGCAATACAAAAGTTTGTCTTCTGTTTGATTCATGATTGGAGGATCTCGTGTAATCCTTTAACCGTGAAGTTCTACTCTGATTCTCAGACAGATGTAATCGTTTCGATGTTGAGACTAACCGAGATCTCAAGACAAGATTGTCGCAGCTCACACCTAGACAGGATGTTATGAAGTAACCCAACCTTTCTTCCGCCATATAAATGAGCAAGTATAGACATGAAGCCATGTGAGATATGCAGATACCAATACCAATAGAAGCAAACAAACAAAAAAAAACGAAAGCAGCACGCCGAGAGAATTCTCTCGAGGGGTATAATGATAGCAGAATAATAGCAGCAGCAGACCAACCCAATGGGAAAAAACAGGACAACAATCAACACGAAATAAAATCGGGATCAAGAAGAAAGCAGAAAATTCTCCCTATTTCCGTACCATCTTAAGCAACGGCGCAATCCTCGCCCTCTTACTCAACCCAACGCGGTAAGGCACCCCACTCCGCGCCAAGATGGGACTATGTTTATTTGGGCCCTTTGCTGCGTTCTGCGGTGTATTAACAGACACAGCTTCAGGCTTCGGGGGAGTCTGAGGTTGAGGGGTATCAATTGTAGGTTCAGGGAGCGGGTCAGGACCAGGAAGTGGATGGGGGTTCTGGTCCTTGCTTTGAATAGCAGATGTATCGTTGTTACTGGTGTCAGCTTCCAGTACGGATTTGGGACTATTATCAACAATGACGGCCAACTTCGACGCAGGAGTCTGGGCTCCGGAGGCCGGCTTGTTTGGTTCAGGTGTATCTGCGGACTCTGATGGTGTTTCCGCTTGCTCGATTGTCTGCTTTCGCTTGCGTCCGCGTTTCTTGGGTGCTGCTTTTTCGGCGTTCTGAGTCTTCTCTTCGACTGCGGGAATCGGTGCCTGGGGAATAACAGTGGGGTTTGAGTCCAGAACATTGGAGTCTAGATCCTGTCTTGAGGGGTCTGGGATTTCTGTCTGTGGAGTGGCACTCCCGGTTGAAGACTCCATGTTGAGAGGCTTTGTGTCCACCCATATCACGTCGTCATTGGCATCAGGCTCAAGGGCGGGTGTCGTCTTGCTTTTTTTGGCTTTCTTCTTTTTTGGCTCCTTGGGCCCTGTGTTTGCAGGCTTGGGGGCTGCTTCTAGATCATCTTCGTCAGTCTCGTCGGAGACGCCATTCGAGGCCGGGGTGTTATCTTCCGTGATCTCTACGCTATCGGGGGGGGTCAATCGCACCATTCGCACCAGGGTATTTGAACTCGTGGTCCCGGGAGTTGGCTAGCTCATCATCTTCGTCGTTATCTGGAACAAGTTGTTTCTTGGGCCTTCCTCGCTTTTTCTTTGCACCGGGCGTTTCGAAGTCTGGCACAGTTGGTATGACAGCTGGCAGAGAAAGCTCGTCATGCGTGCTTGACTGGGATTGCTGCGGGCAAATGAGACTGGTTCCGGCAGTAGTAGTCTTTACTTCGCTAAATCGCATGGATGCAATCGAGGAGAGAGGCTCAGTATCATGGGGGGAACACCCCACCTGCTGAGATTCGGGCTGTGGGACTTCCTGGGGTAGGTTTGGGTGCAGATTTTCTTGTTCCATGAAGGACTCGGTAGTTTGGTGAGGGACACTTTTTGGAGGCAAGGCCATTGAGTTAGTGGTATTGGGGGGAATCAAATCATAGATACCCTGTCTGGGGTGCAGTGAAGTCTGATTTGCATCGACGTAGGCGCTAATGGGTGCTGGATTATATGTGAAGCTACCACTCTCCAGTTGGCCCATCTGATACGAGTGGTAACTCGGTACAGTGGGAAACGGCGCAGACTGAAATGATTCTGTCGAGTACAGCGCGGCCGTAGACGGGAGCGGCAGGCTTGCACCTGAAGGGTCATCGTCCAGAAGTCTTCTCTGCGCGAGTCCGATCTCCGTCATCATAGCGCCTTATCATCTTCGGTATTAGCATATAGATCACATCTTTATTTTGTGCTTCAAATTATGCTATCACATCGTACCAACTGATCCACTTCCGCCCTCACTAGTTGAGGGGATCCATCTGTCCTCCCGCCGCTGCTGCGACGACGATAGTATTGAATGGGCCTGTTCTTGCGATTGGAGGAATTCATCAAAATTGACGTTCAGCTGCGGGAACATGCTTTCATCGGGAGCAGGGCCGTGTTTATACACTGCATTGTGGGTGGTCTGTTCGGCGGGGACATGTTGATATTCCTGCTGCAATGCGGGCTCGGAGGAGTGGGGAGGGTTGCCAGAGGTGGGGAGGTCATCCCCCTCGAAGGGTTCTTCCTCGTCGGAATCCTGAATGACACGATCCAAACTCATTGGGATTTAGTTGTCAGTGTTATCAGAACTAGTGGCTTTGATCATTAAGTGGAAAGAAAGTTGTCTAACGCGTTCCTGACACGACAGCACGTGCTGATAAGGATAGTTGATAAGCTTTTATTTAACTTCATGTTGAGAATATGCGCAAGCATAGTTAGTATCCTTTTTTATGAACTACATAGTTCCAATTTTTGTTCACCTGGATTAAAAATATAACAATGATAAAACCTATGCTGGGGATTTTATATGCAAGAACACTCTGATGTCTTTTCAGATGTTTTTTTAGATATCTTTTTCAGATGTATGTGAAGGCAGTAAAAAGCATAGCGGTGCAGTCTCTATACATAACCAGGGAAATGTACAAAGTATGAGTAACTACGTATGTAGTATGCAACTTTACACATATCTACATAGCTGTAAAGGCCTAATTCGGTCAATGCGCATAAGGGTCCTTGTGGGCTCCCGGTTAAAATTTGCCGGACTCGGCACTTCACGGGGCTAAACTGTTTTGGTGGAAACCCTGAATTTCACCCGGCTTTGTTCTACACTTTGGGTATGTGCATTGTAGATCTGTTGCATTTTTACAACAATATAACATACCTCCAGCCCAACTGTAGCGAACTGCGCTATGTTACTTCTCGCATAATAGAACCAATTTGGGAACGGCGCGATTCCACAATCATTATTGCTTTAGTGCCACACACGGATCATTTCCCTTGAAAGGTCTTTGTAAATATCGGATGTTGTTTACTAGCTCCTTCTTCTCCTCCATGGTCGACTCTTGATTACACCTATCTCATTCGGGTAAAATATACGTATATTCACCAAGATGCTACAAACTAATCCAATGATTGTAGCGGGATAGGGTACCGCAATGGAAGCTTATGTGTATATCCAACCGTTACAGATCTACACCGAGTAGACAGGGTACACACAATGTACCTGCCGATCAACTTGGGTGCAATGGAGAAGGTTCTAGATTCAGGAATATGATACTGCTACGTTGCTAACCTGATCTGCTTACTGGTGTAGAAATTTGAAATTGATATCCACTTTTTGGGTGGCATACGTAAGTAGCATATCCATCTCAATTGGATCTATTTTATGGGATTCATATATTGTATCCAGCAATCAGGGACATATTTAATATATGTACGGAGTATATATAATATATTTAGTCGGTAATTGTTCGGACACCAAACCCCACCTATAAGAGGTCAATACCGATCTGATAAAACCGGGTAATTTCGTGGATCTGATAAAGGTAACCTTGGAACTCCGCCGCAGATCTGATGAACAAAAGGGAATTCCGTCGCGGTTCCGGCCGTAAATCAGCACCTCGGGGTTATATTCCTTGCATGGTGCTGATCTTCGGACTTTTGCAACACTCGAAACAATTGCAATCTCGGTCCTTGGCTTACGCCCTTCTTCACCTAGTCAGAAATGTCAAACTCAGTGATACGCTGTGTCGATCACACACATGGCGCCTGGGCCATTGTGACCCTTTTTCTCCCATTAAGCCACTCAGCAAGTTGAAAGCATGCTGATCGTCATCAGTTTATCCAATCAATATCATCAAATTGACCCGAACCCGAACCGAGTTCGACGGTTTTTTATTAGTGTTTCGACACTTACTCTATATAATCGGCGATTATATAAAGAATGGCCGGTTGCTCAATACTCTCGATTATTACAGACATCCAAGCATCGATCCGATGCAGAACATCATGTTCTTTTTCTCCCTTCTGGCCCTATTGGGTCCTTCAGTATGCCAGGCCGCATGCCCATACGCGCATCTAGCAGGTACCCGAGACCTAGACACAAGCATCAAGCCTCGCTCTGATGTTGTGCTTCCTCGCACTGTCCCAGGAAAGAAAGGCGTCATGTTGTTGAACCGTATCAATCCATCTTCATCGCAACTGTACATTGCCAATGCAGACGGCACAAACGAGCGCTCTTTGCTGGGTGACAAGTCCGACTATGAGTATCATGCTTCCTTCCACCCAGATGGTAAACATGTCGTCTTCACTACCGAACGCAACGGCGATGGCAACTCCGATATCTACATGGTCAATGTCAACGGCAGCGGTCTTACACCAATCGCAACCACTCCCTCGGTCGAGGATGCGGCAGTCATCTCTCCCAATGGCAAATACGCCGCCTATGCATCCACAGCCGGCGTCTACACCTCCAACATCTGGCTCACGAACCTTGAAACCGGCGTTACCCGCAACCTCACGAACCAGACCGGTGTGACAGGCAAGCCTGAATCGCCGAACGGATTTTTTGCGCCTGCCTGGTCTCCTGATGGAGAATGGATCGTCTTCTCCTCAGATCGAAACACAGCATGGACCGGTCACGACAATGGCACCGGCTGGGAGCATACCCAGGAACTGGCTATCTATGCCATCACCCCTGAGGGAACTGGTTTCCGTGAAGTGTACAGCAAGCCGGATTACACCTATGGATCACCCAGATTCTCCCCCGATGGCAAGCGAGTTGTGTTCTATGAGATGACTGTGCAAGCAACTTGGGATGCGCGATCGTCGTACTCTGTCAATTCCACGACCAACCAGATCGTTTCTGTGGACTTCAAAACCGGAACCGATCTTGTCCAACACACCAATACCTCCGGTGTTAAGATCTACCCGCAGTATGTCTCAAATACTGATATCGGATACTTGCTCAAGGGTGGAGATAACGGCGGTATTCACTACACCTCCAGCACAAAGAAGATTCTTGGTGGTATGCGCTCGCCTGCCTGGTCCGCCGACGGCAAATATGTTGTTTACGAAAAGACCGGTTGGGAGATCCGCCCTTTGCAAAAGGAGCTGTGGTCCTGGGACTCTGAGTGGGATTACCGCTTTATGGATGTCTTCCCCGATCTCTCTCTTGATGGACAATTGACCTTCACCTCCAAGCAGACAGGTAGTCCCGGCAACTCATCCGTGGTCGTGATGCCCCCCGGTGACAACGAATTCACGGTAGCGTTCGATACCTACGAAACCGACGCGCTGGATGAAGCCACCGTTGCCAAGGGCGGCGGTGGATCCTTCCAGCCATCGTGGTCATCTGATAGTAAATGGATCACCTTCAGTCTGGGATCATGGTTTCAGAGCCGTGGCGAGAAGCCCGGCTGGATCTTCCGTACCAAGCCCGATGGATCAAACTATGAGCAACTCACCTTCGGCAACTCCTCCAACAAAGGTTTCCCCAGCTTCTCGCCCGACAACAAGAAGATCGTGTACCGCGAATACCTGCCTGAATTTGGGCTGCGTCTGATGGACCTGGAGTCCAAAGAGACCGCGACTCTGACGACGGAGCGTGATAACCTGCCCTTTTTCTCGCCGTCCGGTGAATGGGTGCTGTTCACGCGCAACATGACTGACCTGTCAAGAAACGAGTTTTCGAATTATGAGGTGTGCATTATTCGTCCTAATGGAACAGATCTGACTGTGCTCACTACATCGTTTGCCAACGATGCCCATGCTGTTTGGACTGCCGATGGTCGTATTATGTGGTCGACTGGAATGTGGGGATTCCAGGCTGAGGCTGCGACTTACGATGATACCTTCCAGCCTTATGGCCAGATTATGGTGATGAATGTTGATGGCTCGAATAAGACGGTTCTCACTGACAGCTTGTGGGAGGATTCAATGCCGCGTTATGTGCCCAATGAGTTTTTGGAGCAGTGAGATCCAAACCGATTGAAGAGCGAACTTGAGAAATCCGTGTGATGATAGATTATATCAATGTAAATAGATACCAAATTCAAGGATCCAATTTACATCGGAAAAAGAAGTAACTATTCAGCCGAGCCGCTAACTTTCTTGATATTTTCGAATCTTCCAAGGATGTAAGGGTTGATACCCTGCTTCTAAGGATCCATTCAACTATCTGATAGAATAGAGAGGGCTGTGTGCTATCCAAGGTCGTATGCCCCCTCCCTCCAACCCCAGAGAACCTCGGAGGGAATGCTTTTTTTAAGAAAATTACAAGGTTCAGATTACAGTGATTTTTTTAGAGGAGTTATGAAGTTAATTTATATCCCGTCGACCCTAAAGGTATCAACTACCCGTGGACGTATGTATTACACCAACACGCAGGCCACAACACTTTCAACCCATCTCTTCTCCTTTTTCTTCTCCCGAGCTCTGTCTGCTTTATCAAATCAAGCTCTCCTTCTTTCCAAGCCGTGTTTCATAGACTTAGTAAACGTACGTCCAGCCTCAGAATTGCACACTTGTCGCCCATTTTACTCCTTTTCTACGTTTTTAGGGTGAGCATGGCTCGAGAACTCGTTGATGTAAGAGTTGCCGATGTTACCTTCCTCGATACTCTCAAAGAGTGAAGGACCTCGGCTATTTTTAAGGTGGTTGTTCATGGGACAACATGTGTGATGAAACTGGTAAACAAGCTTGGGATTCTTCTGTTAATCCTCCTAATTCTTTCGTTGGCATGATTAGCCCCTATATCCCGATGAGCCCGATCGATAACCTTTTTTTTCCGTGAAAGCACTGCTCCCAGGAATCCACTACCCTATTTCTCCATTTGATCTCCATTGTAGTATGATCCCAGGAATTCACGAGATTGATATATCTAGCGAAGAGGTGGCAGACTGTTCTTCGCGGTACGTAGTGACCACTCGGGACATTGGTTTTATTTTGACTTTATTGCTTGGATACAATTGCCATCTATCCACCATACTGACTGTGATCACTAATTGGAAATCTATCTGTAGTAGAAATTAGTTGTCCTATATATGAAGAAAGCCACATTGGGGAGTGCATTAAGTTATATGTTGTATATTTTTCATAAGGATATCATTTTTCAATTTTTTTTTTTTTAAAAAAAAGGGCTAATTATATATATATCCTAGAAGGATATAAAAAGGACTCTAACAGATTTCGAACGCCGCTTTCAACCTCTTGCCTCCCATTCCTACACCTGCCCAGGCGATATTTGTGACCTTGTAAAGCACACTGCTCCCGCAGAACACAAAGCTCAGCACCCCAAACGGGACGGTCAAGCCTACTGGTGGCCGGTATAGAGGTCAATGGAATTTCATTTTTTTTCAATTTTTTTCCATAGGTTTATGATGCACATTTTGGAGTTTCGTACATCAGAAAAATTGGTTGTGTAGTGTAATGGCTATCACTCTGGTTTCTGATACCAGCAATCCCGGTTCGATCCCGGGCACGACCTTTTCTTTTTTCTTTTCGATATTTTTTATATCGCACATGTACAAACTTCGATCTATGTTAGTAAATATGCCCTCGTGTAACTTCTGAATAATAATAAAAATATTAATAAAAAAAAACACAAACCTAGATTTATTAGCCGTGACGCCTACTATAATACAACCCCTTTAGAACCCGAGATTCCGGGGTTGGCAATTTGGCAGGATCCATGGATATCCACGTGGCTTAGCTAATACGGTTTTCGGGGTCACTCCGAATCGGCTACGGGCGAATACTTACATTTGGAGGATGGAGAGTTCTTGATCCCAAAATCTTATTTCTGTCGACATTTCACCCTCAGATACATAATCATGGCTGGGGGGTTTGATGTTGACCCTGTTGATAGAAACAGTTACGTCCGCTCGCCACTGCCAACTAGAGTTCGGAGTGCCTGCGAAAGATGTCGTCGCCATAAATCTCGGGTAGAGCCACCCTGATCCCGGTCAGGATTTAATGACATATACTAAATTCAACTTGGACCTAGTGTGATCCTGTTCGGCCTTGCTCGGTCTGTATCCGAGCTAATGTTGATTGCCAACCACTTCCAAATACCCGACCACGGAGGGCTACTCTGCCGAAGTAAGCTGGACAGATGCTTTTAACTTGCCCTTTTACTTACATGAGAAATCAGGCGTCTGGCTTCCAAAAGACACTCACTAATTGACCGACATCGGTCCAATATGTCTCCGGTGACTCCTACCGAAAAGTCACCGGATGAAAATGGCTCTCGTCGTGGTGAAATACCTCCCGACCAGAGTAGAGTGATAGATGCGCAACCTAGGGGCGATGATTCTGACTTCCCCGCTGGAGGGAGCGATATCCCTTCATCTCTCAATTGCGGTGAAGCCGAATCCGCCATAGGCATTGCTCGAAGAATCTGTCAGCTTGGCAGCCATACCATTGATGAACAAACCACATCCGCCATACCCGGCTACCAGGCCAGCACAGGTGGCTCCATGGCAAATCCAGCAATGGGTCAGCGCATTCCGATATCTTCCATCTTGCGCCAGCCTTTCCCTCCAATGGAGCATGTATACAGTCTGTTGGAAGATTATTTTGATGCCGTACACTGGTTTTCTCTCGCCATTTACGAGACAAAATTCAGAAAGAGCCTCCTTTCTATCGCGGATGGTTCTGCACACCCCTCGCAACGACCGTTTCTCGTACTGTTAGCCATGATGCTTGCAATGGCATCGTGGTACCGATCCCAGAGGGGTTGCACCGATCCCTCCGACAACAGCAATGATATGAAGAAATTGAGTGCAGACTTGTTGGGGCTGGTTGAATCAAACCTAGTGGAATTGATGGATCAACCTTCAGTCACCTCGGCCCAGACCTGCATCCTCTTAGGATCACATCACGTCTACCACGGCCGTCCAAATCTCTCCTTTTCTTTATTAGGAGCGACTATAAAAATGGCCCAGTCTTTAGGAATGCATCGGGGACTTCAAAGGGGGGATTTCGAAGATATTGAGGAAAGGAAAAGAGTCTGGTGGACGATTTACACATGGGACAGGTTTGCGTCAATTACCTATGGCCGGCCCTTGGGTATCAACGACAAGGATTGCAATCTTGACATGCCAGCGGATGTGTTTGAGAACCCGAATTTTGTTGCCCCAGCCTCCGGGGAGGCGAGCCCCATATGCTATTCAACTTACCAGAGGGAGCTGAACCAGCTCTACTTGATTGCATCGCCTGCTCTTAAGACTGTTTTCGGCTCCCGTACTCTCAGGACGTCCGAACAGCTAAATGGTGACACATATTTTACACTAGTCAGGCACGTCACTGAGAACCTCCAAAAATGGCGATCCTGCCTACCGAGCCATTTGGCTTTGGATCTTAATCGGGACTTCGATCCCGATAATAGGCCAAGCTTGAGGGCATACGCTCTACAGTCGCTGTCACTACAATTGACTTACGACAATGTTCTCATTGTACTGCATCGACCTTTGTTGGCACGGCAAGTTGATCATCTCTATACCGTGAACAAGCAATCACCAGAGGAAGGCAGAGCAGATAACATAATTTATAATCCGACCACTGCTCCCTCCGTTCCTCAGTCGCACTTATCTCCCGACTCCGCATTTCCCAATACCCAGACCACAAGTTCGGATCTATGGATGAATGCCGCAACAAGAACATCGAGGGTGACAGAACTACCGGCTCTCGCCCAGCTCGCCACCGACAGTCATCTCTGCGCATTTCTTGCCATCAACCTTTTTAATGCCGCGATTGTGTTAGCTGTGATGGCTCTCTCGGAGCCTCTTTCCGATACCGCGCAGGAAGTGAAGCGAACGATTACTCGCATTCTTCGTCTGGAAGATCTGCTCGGAAGACGGTCTGCACTGTCGAAGCAGAGCACGGCTGTGCTGAAGAATGTTGTCATCATGCTCCTCCGTCGTGAATCAACTGCCATGCTTGCCCCCATTACCGCAACAAGTCAAGTAATGGGTCACCAGCCTTTACAAACCCTGGCGGATCCGTCATTGATTTCTGTTGAAGATACGCTTCGGATGCCGCTCGATGCGACATGGGATTCTCGCAATCCTCTTGCTAGAGACCAACGTCTGCCGGACCTCAGCAGAGCTGACCGTCTGAATAATAGCTTGACATCTGTCCAATATGGTAAGGCTTATCATCCACACGAGGTAGCTAAAAGGACGAAATTGCTAACGCAAATATGTTTTCCAGCCTTGGGTCCAGGGGATCGCTCTGCTGGCATTCCTACTGGCGGAGATAACATTCAACTTGGTGAATTTGTTGAGCCAGGCATACAGACACACGAAACATGGCAGCTGCCAGCAGAATATGATTGGAACATGCCTGGTCTATCTCGGGAACCTGTCGAAAACAATCACCAGGATAGTGTTGAAGGCGGGTTGTATTGGTTATGGGACATGACGTGGAATGAAGTTGGAGGGTAATCGGCGGTCTATTTAAAAATAACAGTCACAAAGGGCATGGACTATACTGAAGTTGCCTTTGCCTCTTCCTCGTCGACATTCGGGCCATAAATCACACTCTTAATTCCACCCCGACCGGCGACATTTTTGAAAGCGTCCTCAGCCTGACTGAAAGGATACTCATGAGTGACGAGATCATCCAGCTTAACTCGGCCCGAGTTCAGCAATCCGACAGCCAACTTGAAGTCTCCAGGCCCGTACCGGAAGCTTCCCTTGAAAACAATCTCCTTATCGCAGATCTGACCAACCGGAATTGATGGGTTTGGTTTTCCCAAGCCGACTTGAATGAAAGTCCCGCCCTGCGTGAGGGCATGGATAGCACAGTTCTGACAGGGCTCAGCACCAGTTGCATCGAGAGCAACATCAACGCCATCGGGGAAACCAGCAGCCGCCAACAAATCCACCGCATTCTTCTCCGGCGTCTCGGTGCTCATCTGGTATGTGTGTGTAGCACCATATTTGACCGCAGAAGCAAGCCGAGCGGGGACGACATCCACAGCGACGACCGTTGATGCACCGAAAGCGCGCGCAACAGCGCAGCAGAGCAACCCGACAGGCCCAGCTCCGAAAATAACCACTGCTTTATCCTGCATGAAACCTGCCAATTGACAGCTGTGCACAGCCACGCTAAGAGGTTCAATCAGGGTACCGTCGCGCAGGGAGATGTGGGCTGGGAGCTTGAAGCAGCATTCTGCAGGCACGCGGTAGTAGGTAGCGAGTGTTCCGTCGTATGGCGGTGTTGCGGCAAAGCGCATTCCCCGACAGAGGTTGTAGCGACCGTTACGACAATGATTGCAGGTGTTGCAGGCGATGCCGGGCTCGAGAGCGACTCGGTCTCCGACGGCGAGGCCTTGAACACTACTTCCGCTCTCTACCACGATTCCTGTTGACTCGTGGCCGAGGATTATGGGGTTTTCGACGACGTATGGGCCTATGCGACCGTGTTGCCAGTAGTGGACCTGTTGCGCCGAGGATTACGTTAGATGTTGTTTTCTTTCTTTTTCTTCTTTTTTGAAATTGAGGAAATGGAAATGGTGAAATAGCGGGGAAAGCGGGGGGGATGGGAAAGTCGAAGCTATTTCACTCACATCTGAACCACAGAGACCTGTTGCCATTACTCGGACTATGACATCTCGGTCTGACTGGAGTGTGGGTACGCTGCGTTCCTCGAAAGCAAATGTGCCTCCGGGGTGCAGTACAAATGCCTCATTGGTAGTCTAGATAATTTTTGGAGTTAGCAGGTGTGATATAAACCTATGTGTTTGGGTTACTACTGGGATTGAGACATACCTGGGTAGCTTCTGTGACGGTCATATTTGCGGTTTTTTTTGTTTAATTGAACAAAGCTTCTGTGCATGTGGGATTCTACTGAGCTTTAAATACTACGGATGTCCTAAATATTTTTACCCACTCAGTTAGATGTGGGCGAACGGATCATATGTTGAAACATTTCCGGCGGATGGTCGACCAGCTCCATATAGCGTCTCCATACTTAAAACAGCCTTTAAGACCCGAGCCGAAGGAGTCTACGGGATACCGATACTTCGCTTTAATGGGGAAACCAGGACCAATAGGAACCATACCCATGAATGTATGGTCATTCGTAACCCAGTTAAATTTCAATATATTCTCATTTTTATCACACACCCTCACCTGACATATAACTACCCCGAATTCAAATCCCGAATATCCAGGATCCGTGTTGTCTTCCGGGATATCACTCAACATCTACCAAAGTCGTCCCGGAACCGCTTGATATTCGCCACCGGAACCGAGATTAGGGCTCCACTGTACTCCCGGAACCGTTCACTTCCCCCACAAAAGCACGGCCAAACTCGGGGTTATCATGGACAGTTGAAATAAGACTTTGCAAGTTTGACCAACTGCAGGTCTAAATGATCAATAATAGGTTCACTTTGCCCGACAGAGCCAGGGTCCGGAGGGATGCCCAGAAGCCAAGGCCATGAGGTACTTTCCGCATTATCCAATAGCAATGGCGGGATCCATGAAATAAATGTAAATAGACATGATGGATTCGGTAAATCACCGAAATGGTGACCCCATGGTGTACCTCCCGCTCCATTTCCCCATCAACCTGGAGAAAATCCTTCTTCCCCACGGGAAGTGTCCGGGGTATAAATAAAACCGTTTCCCCCATCTTTTGGTCAAATCCACAAGTGGTTTTTGCGCTTGTTGTCCTAGTTAGTCAATTTCCTCTTTGGCACTATGACTATCACGAAATCCTTCGAGCCGGCGCCCAATGGGACTCTCAGAGAGCGTTCCCTAGCCGTCGCCACGCAAATTGAAGAACAGCAGACCTGGCTGGAGAGGAAACTCAAGCCCAAGAAGATCTCAGCCAGATACCCCTTCAAAGGCACAGCCTTATTGTATGCAACATGTGCCTTTGGCAGTTTGGGAGATGCTCTGTTCGGTTATAACTCTGGTATGACATCCTCGATTATGTTGGCAGGATATATAGATGCTGATTTGATTGATAGGTATCATGTCCGGACTGCTGGTCAACGAAATATTCATAGCTCGCTTCTTCAAGAACTACGGAGGAGCCGACGGGACGACAAGTGGAGTCGATCCTTCGATTACAGGCATATCTGTTTCGTGTTTGCAAGCCGCAGCAGCGGTGGGAGCACTCATCGCGGGTCGTCTTGGAGACATGATTGGTCGAAAGAAGTGTGTCCGCATCGGCGCTTTCATTTACTTCTTCAGTTCGTTTATTCAGATGTTTGCGCCTGGTTTTGCGACTTTCATTGTAGGTCGCACGATCCAAGGAGTGGGCGTGGGTTTTCTCTCCATGACCGTGCCTATCATTCAAACAGAGATTGCTCCCTCTCATCGCCGAGGTTTGATGGTGGGTATAGAGTATAGTTGTTTGATTGCTGGATATATGCTTTCTTGCTGGGTGGACTATGGGTTCAACTTCTTGTTGCCGGATCATATTTCATGGCAGGGGCCTTTCATCATCCAGATTGTGCTCTCTTTTGTCTTGCTTAGCATGTCCTTCTTCCTGCCAGAAACCCCTCGATGGTTGGCGTTGAATGGTTTCGTGGACGAAAGCTTGCAAGTGATTGCAGACCTACATTCTAATGGAAATATACATGCGGAACATGTCCAACACACCTTCCTCGAAATTCAAGAAGCGGTTATCTATGAGAGCAATCTTGGGAAGTCCAGTTGGAAGGTGAGGATCTCCTTGCTGCTTTTTTTGACTTGTTGAGTCTTGTGAATTGACTAACCCTGGATCAACACTATATAGGAAATGTTCACCCGCTATCGCAAACGAACCATCGTTGGAATCACAGTGCAGATGTTCGCCCAGATTAACGGAATCAACATCATCTCCTTCTACCTCCCAAGCACCCTCGCCTCCGCTGGTTATGATAATCGCAAATCCCTGCTATATACCGCTGCAAATGCTATTCCCTACACCGCTGCAACAGTTGTTACATGGTGGCTAGCAGATCGATGGGGCCGAAAGCCTTTGCTCATTCTTGGAGGTCAGTTCCCATGTCGAGTTGATCAACCACTAAAAACTAACAATTCAAACAGGTTTCGGCATGGCAGTATTACTCGCAATTGTCTGCGTCTTTACCGAAATCAACGTGGATGTCCAAACTAAAGCAAACGGCCAGTATGCCTTCGTCATGCTATACAATATCCTCTACGGATTCACCTGGGGTCCGATGCCTTGGCTTCTACCTGCAGAGATCTTCCCACTCCGTGGCCGGAGTAAAGGCATGGCCCTGGCTACGACTAGCAATTGGATCTTCAACTTCATCATTGGAATGGTTTCTCCCGACGCCTTTGCTGGAATCCATGGTTATTTCTACCTGGTGATTGCAGGATTCTGTCTCAGTTCGGCTCTCCTTGTTCACTTTTATTATGTTGAGACAGCGCACCATTCTCTAGAGGAGATTGCTGTTGCATTCGGTGACAAAGCATTTGCAAATGATGATGCGGAGGTCATAGAGATGGCTGATGCGAAGAGTGAGCAGGTGGAATATTCGGCGTGAGGGGGATCGGATGTTTACAATTATTGATTGTCATATTTATTTATCGGTTTTTCATTTGGGCTCTATTTTGTTCTATATGCAACAAATCACCGACTAGGTTTACATTAATGTGCTCAAAACCCGAGAGGTCCACTAGGAAGTAAAGAAAGCCCTAAATTATTCGGGACGAGCATACCTCAACCTTCTCAGATATAATAACTAGAGCTTCTGAAAGATTGTTTAGGAATTATTAGGTTAGACCTCGTTAGCCATTTACTTTCCTTTACTTTTCTGAAATCAACTATATAGTTCCTTTGGGGTGTTTTTCTCGTTATGAATATTCCAAAGAGCGTTCGACTACCTTGAATGTTAAATATACAATGAACAAATAATTGTGTAAAGGTAGGATGCACTAGGAAAGTCACACTTAGTGATGTATAATTAATTTGTTACGGTAGATTAACTGTGATTATTACGATCTGTTAGTATTAAAGTCCAACGTTTGGATTAGTAGGCATGTTGGCAGTTGATATATATTTTCCACTATTAATGTCTAATGTATACTCCTCGCGACAAAGAAGGCAACTTTTCCTCTTACCCTTAACAGCAAGCCGTTTATACTAGAAAAACCCGTGGGTATTGTCTTTAGCCTCTGATTTAGTTAAGCATAGCATTTCCAATTAACATATACTTGACACCAGCACTGCCTCAATGTTCGAAATGTAGAATGCAGCTATCCCCTTTGATGGATGGCACTGAATCCACTGAATCTCCCTATTGAGCCATAATAAGTAAGCATATATACCAATGGCTTTCTAAACAAATATTTACCTCAATTATAGTAGAGTAGTATTATATTTGAGCCTAAATGTATCAATGTTCATTTCAATATCTAGTCCACGGAGCAGCAACTTAGGTTATATATTCATCACTACAGATTCCGAAGATAAATCC